TTTCGCTCGATAAATGTTTAATTTTATTATTTAATACAGACGATATTTCATTGTGTAATGTTCAGTTTATGCTATTTTAGTCAATTTTTAGTGCAATAAAGTCCGTAAGCCCTATATTTAGTTATAGAACATAGTTCCAAAGTATACAGTACAAATAGCGTTCGAGTATTTTAAGTAGGTAAAAATATGTGTATAAGCACGGTAATACACTAAATTACGTCCCATGGTGTTCGTCGTTATTTATTTACCTATTTATTTATTTTTTTTTTTTTTGCAATAAACTAATAGAGTCACCATAATAATAATCTTATACCGTAACGTTACTTAAAAAAGAAACCTAACACTACGGGACACCCAAACCTACATGTATATAATAATAATATATGGCACCCATATTATCACAGTATACGTACACCATAACAGGGTATGAATCGGCGTAGGTGTTCCTGTATAAATATAAGTACCTATAACAAATACTTACCTGTATATATATGTCCCACGCACAATATACATTTTTATTTATATAATAATGTTTTAAAAATAAATTGCCAACAAAAATCGATGAACAACATTCTTTTTTCTTTTTTTTTAGTTTATTGGAAAAATTAATAGTCCGTATCAATTTCAAACACAATAAGTAAATACGATAATACGTATAATAATAATAAATAACATATAGTAAATACAAAATTATGTGGGAAGCCGTCAATTAATAGAACTATTCAGGACATGTTTGGATTGATATTATAGTTTGGATCTAAATATAGGACAAACCGTACGAACCAGGCGAAGGCAATATTCGATATTTTGCGTTCGAACTTTAAATGAAGACTTCAAGTTGGTCGTTTGTCAAACATAATTCCCGGATAATTTAAACTGAGACGTATACGGGTATAGAATGTATCCCAACTCCCTGAAGTTGACAAGAGGGATAATTATTTTTTCAAAGTTTAAATCCTACATAGAATAATTTTTCAGAATACATAGAATTCTCCACCTTCTTGTTCAGATTTTAATTAAGTCGTATTGATTTTTAAGATCGTTTGACGCTTGAACGAGGTCTAAGCGTCGAATTTTAGATTTTAGCACGGGGTCAAATAAAAAGTTTAAGTTACTATACAAGGATATTATTCCAATAATCTTTATTGGCTTCAGTTAAAACTAAAAAAAAAAAACATTTTTATATTGAAATATAATCTTTTTAACTAAATTTATTAAATTACATTTTATCCATATAAATATTTTCTAAAATAAACTTATGCTCTATACTTATAAGTTATAAAGTCATAATCGTGATGGTATTTTATCTCCAGCCATAGTAAGAAAATAAGTTGTTTTTATAAATATTTCTATGTCACAGCTCATTACTGTAGAGCTAGGATTTTGATGACTTTTGTATTTTTTTTCTTTAAGTGCTTTACAGTTCCAATCAAAAACTAAATTTGTTTTGCTGTATAACAATTGGAAAGTGTAATTTTTATTTTGCATTTTTTGCATTTTTTGTGTTAAATGCATTTTATTGCGTTTTGTAAGGTCATTTTTACAAATATTACGTTAATTTTATGTATTTAAACTCATTTTTGTTTATTTTAAGCTTTTTTTAATGTGTTGTATAGGTAATCCCAATTGCCTATTCCAGTCCATTGATATTGAAAAAGTAATATAATTAATTGTCGATTTATCCGATAAGATTAAATATCGTACAAACCCATAACTATATAGGTATACAAAAATTTACAATAGAAGCTTTAGTACTTTAGTAGTGAATACAACTCGTACCGATGTGGTTCTACATCTATACCGATCTCTGTACACAATACTGAACAAATAATATTACGGCTAATAATGGTATTATACTTTAAAAATCTCAAAAATGCCAAAACCTAAGTCAACACTAGGAAGCCATTTACGTAGTTTTGTGAGTAAGTTTGGTGCCGATACAAATTTTTACATATTTTGTGTAATATAAAAAATGAATAAATATTAAATAATAATAATTATAATTTAAAAATTAAATTTTTTTCGCTCATCTAAGTACATTTTTGGGTAATTTTTTAAGTTTATTTTTTTGAGTTTTTAGGTAATTTTTGCATTTTTGTGTATTTTCAGGTCATTAAAATCCTAGCTCTACTCATTAGCTATAAATGCTATAATAATAATCAAATAATTTATATACACCAAAGCATAATACTATTTTTACGTTTTACATTCGTTATATTTGAAGTACGAGGACGATTGTCCCCGTTAAGTCGGCACTTATAATAGCTCTAAGTTGGAATCTAGTCAACTGTATTGTCAGTATAATCATGTTTTGCTGTTTTAAAAATGTTAGATGATGTATTATACGGTAGTACACATATAGAAAATAAACAAAATTTAAGTCATAAAACAGTTATTTTAGGTTCTATGCAATTAGATCAGCGTTTCTCAAACTGTGGGTCTCGAGACAAGTTTTGGAGGGTCGCAAGAAGTAGTATTATATTATTATTATAAGTATATTATTAAAACTATTATTGTTATAAGTATATTATTACAATTATTATTATTATAAAGTAGTAAATAAGCAATAAAAAAATTTGTTTTTTGAAATTACTTTTTTGATTCTGTAAATGTAAAACTATGGGGGTCGCGATAGATTTTTGGAAAAAAATTTGGGTCGCGGTCCTAAAAAGATTGAGAACCACTGAATTAGATTGCTTAGATTAGCATTTAGGCCATTTAGCATTCAATAAAAGAACAGTAGTAGTTGAAAAACAGCGGCTGATGATGGAAACGGGGATAGTAAAATTAACCTAATTTACGTCCAAAAAAATAGACATTTAAAAGGACTTGGGTATTTTAAAATGTCCTAAAGAATAAAAAAAATCATAAATGTATGAAAAAATAATTTTAGGCGAGACACAAGCACTCTAAAATTAATAGCACTTATTGACTTATATTTATATACTCGTAGATAAGTACCTACCTACATACCGCTAAGCTATCATAATATTTTCTTTGGCCTTTCACGATTGAAATTATCATATTTTACTAATTAGTAATCTATTAGGTATATCGTCGTGTAAACTCAGCACATGGAAGCAGTATAAGATTACCAAGATATAGTTGAATCAATAACGATACGTAAACACGTTTAAGTAAAACAAACCAAAGGGCATTAAAACGTGATTTTAGAGCTTATGAAGTAGGTATTTCATAGAGAACAATTTACTGGTTATTACCTCGTCAGGGGTTTTGTATTACTACAAACATACCTACAGCTCGTTAAAAGTACACTTTTTTTATACTTTTTTAATATAACTAATTTTTATTATAAGTACCTAACCTAATAATTTCAAAAAATGTCGTTGTGACTACATTGTAAAATTTAAATATTAGTCTGTACTTTATAAATTTCATAAAAAGTGATCTTACTTTAAAACCACCGAGAAAATAAATGAGGATTTGGTATAAGAAAACTAGAATAAATTTACAATAGATAAGTACCAATTTTTAATTAAATTGATTTTGTTATTTGGTTGTAATTAAAAAATAAATACCCTTAGATAATAGCTGAAATTTTCACCAAATAATATTTAGGTATATTTGCATTCCTGTGCAAAATTGTCTACTTATTAAGTATTTTTTTCAACTTACATTAATAAAATTTGTTTCCATGTCAAAAAGCTTGAAAATATAACAGGATACTTCATAAATTATTCATTTAGTAGGTAATTAGTAATTACTAATTAAAGAAATAGACAATATACTGTCACAATTTTTCTTATAAGAGATTTAAGCTGATATTTTTTTAGTTAATAAATAATCATACGTTTATAATTTTAATACCTTTAAGATTAAAATTTAAAACATTAAATTTAGACTAATTTTAAGTTATGTATAGATTTTTAAATTTTTGAATTTATTCGCACTATTTCAGCATACATAGTATTGAAATCTAATATTAAAAGGTTGAATATTTAAAAATATATATTAACTACCTAATAACTACCACTGCTTATATTTAACCTAAATTAATTAATATTGCATTCGAAACATTCACACAACTGGTAAAAAATAAGTTAGAAATATAAAAATAATATAACATATTATGCTATTATTCCTGATAAGTGCATTTAAATTATCTTTTTAGCATTTATTATTATTATTACTTTGTAAACTAAAGGCATTGCTTGAAAATGATTAAGGACAGGTCTTATGATGAATTTTTTTACACGACAAAATAATGAAATGTAATTTAAACTAAAATTTGTTTAATACCTTTTAAACAAATAACATTAAGGCCCAGACCAGCCACAGTTAGTTATCTATAATTATTGTATTATTATGACATATTTGCTAAATTAACTGTAAATGAGAAGACCTGTTTACTTCATAACATTTATAACTTATTAGATAGTTGTCACATTATAAAATTTTTTAAATACTGATTGAGTTGGTAAATATTATTAATATCAATCATTATTGAACTTATTTTTTATTAGTAAATATATATACATATATATATATTTTTTTTTTTTTGAACATTTATTTGAAATATATAATCTGTAAAAGTATTTACACTTATATTATAAGATAGATATATTAAAATAAATAGCATGAAGGTATAAATAGAGAAGCCACCCAACAGCAGCACTAAGACACGATTGATTGTATGATTAGGTAATTGTATAAGTAAAGATGTTTTTATTTTATTTTTTCAAAAACTTTATTTATTTGTTTTATGTCAATATAATTTATTGGGCCAAGTTGCCACATTGGTGCCTTTTAAGTCTTTTTGGTGGATTACCAGGTTAGGTTAGAGCAAGAATAAGTGGATTTGAGTAGTTCGTATGGCAACTAAAAAAGCATTAAAATGGAATGTAGCCACTTTAGTGATAGTCTGTATACCGAGAGCTAAGTGAAGTTTGTGATTTGTTAGGTAGAAAGGAGCGTTAGAAATTAGACGGATCAGTAAAATTATGTTTTCCTACATAATTTATTCAACATACAGTTATACAGTTCAAAGCAAAGTTGTGGTACTTTTATTCTTACAAAATTCATGTATAACAGAATTCTAAATAAAACATGAAAAAAAATCTAAAATTTTAACCATAAATTTATATATGTTATATTTCTAAATGTTTATGAAAAAACCACGATGTAAAATAGAATTGAAAACTAAGAACCATTTTATTTATTTAATGAGCTGCATCAATTTTTTTTTGTTCTTCTATTTTTGAAGTTTCTGCTTCTGGTTCATCAAAAACATAATCAATCTCTTGATGTGGCCAGAATGATGGCTTGTTCTCCAAATCTAATGTTAATTCAGGTTCAATATAAGCAGCATCTTCATAGGTCATTTGGGAAAATGGCAATAAACGGTTGATTTCTGCAATCCTCTTTTCAGCTTCTTTGATTATTGCGTCTGATTCAGCTTTAAATTCTTCAATACCTTTTGCCTAAAAATTAAAACCAATACACTATACATATTATGACTTCCTAATAATGTGAATGATATAAGTAACAAAAAATAAATTACAATTTCCTTTTCATGTTTATCGATAGCACTACTGTATTTATCTTCTGGGTATGGAATTTTAAGCGCATTGTACGATTTTTCAAAGTTGTCGACTAACCCAGGTACTGCTATTTTATTTTTATATGCTGCCCAATCAATTTTCAATGGTTCAGCTGGATTGGCCAACATTCTGAAAGCATTTATTGACCAAATAAAAATCTTACAAATAACAGTTTTGTAAATATTATAAATTATTAAAAATCATTTCGACACTCCCAATGTGGCCTTTAAATGACCTTAACGTACTTGCGAAGATATCCATCGGACTTAGCTTTAAATGCCAAATAGGACGCTTTGTCCGCTTCCGGTACGCGTTCAGCAATCGCAGCCCAGTTAACAGAAGATTGAGCAATGCGTTTAGAAGCCATCTTTGATTAAAATTAAACGGAAAACGTTAACAAAAAAATCACAAGTCGCGAGAGAACCTTCGAGAAATTGTGAGTTATGAGTTTATGACACTAGAAAATGGTTAATGCCTTAATGGTTATCTGTAAAATATATTTGTATTATCAAATTTGCAGCTGTGTTAAAGAAATATCAGTTTCAACACTTTGTGAAAAATAAAATTATCTATCCATAATAGTATGATTGCTTTGGACACTTATCTCTCGACTGCGAGTACTAAATAACCGCGGCTTTAGATAATGAATGATATGAATATACGATTGCAGATAATGCAGATTGCAGAATGCAGGACGGTAAATTCTACAGAAATACAGAATATTTATTTTCTAAGGCCATGTTTATGTTCTCCCGAAACCAGCTTGTTGATTTTACCCAAGATTCTATAGCACCATTTATCAGTATGTAAAGCTTTAAAGTTTCTGTAGTTGATGATTTAAGTATTCGATTTTAAAATTCTGCCAAAAATGATCATTATTCATTACCCCATGGATTTTTGGTGGAGAACATTAATTAACATTCGGTATTTCCGTTATCAATATATCACTTTATAGTTTATACATGTCCTCCTATCGTTACAGTCGTTAGTCGTTACACAAACACAACCATAGTATCATTGTTAGGTACCTATCTAAAACAGCAAAAATAACTAAGATAGGTATGTTCAAAAAAAGAAGTTTAAATAAAAATAATTAAAAAAAAAAAAAAAACAGTATTTTGTCATTTCCATTAGGATATAGTGGATTTAATGTCTCAAATTAAGTATACGAACGGTTAGCAATGCTGCTATTTCCATTACGGTTCCGCGATTCTCGCTGCACAGTCCACACGCATAAGTGCGCTACGCCACAACCTTCAATTTGTCACCAAAACTTTCGAAATTCATTTAAAGTCATTACTCATTAGTCATTACTATGATTCCATAACTTATCTACATTGAACGTTATTACCAGGGCTGGGATTTTGATGCATAGGCATCTTTTCTTCTGGTGTTTCTTTCGAAACATTGGTTTGTAAGTACCTATAAAATGTGATTTGGGTGATATTAATTATTATAAAGTAATTTTTTTTTTTTTTTGTATAATATTTTTATATTTTTTGAATATGTCAACCTTAAATGCATTTATAGGGCATTTTTTGACGATTTTAGTGCATTTTCTTAGTTTTCAGAATATTTTTCACAATTTGTTCAAAAAACGAACAAAAATTGTTGCGATTAACAAAAGACTTTCGACAACTACTATCGCTACGAATAATAAATTATATTACATATTAAGTTTATCGTCGATAACAAATATTTCATCATTGCTATAGCCGCTTAGCCTTTCCGGCTTCTGCTAATGATTAAGCAAAAACAGAAAATCGTTCAACTAAACAAGTAACAATGTACAAATGTACAATACCATTAAAAAAAAGAAACTAAAAATACACTACTGTAGTATAATTTATGAATTTTTTTTTAATTTTTATATAATGAAGAAAACACTGCCAATTCCAGTTACATTGTACAAATTTAAATTTTTTAGAGAGTAATAGGTAGGTGTGTTTTAGGTCAAGTATTACAAATCAAAAATTAAGATATTATCTAACTTAACGTTTTAACAATTAAAATATTGAAAAAATCCAGAGTTTATACACATTGATAATAATAATTGATCAATTCACTCCAGTATTAATACATTTAAAACTAACAACGTACGATTTATTTTGATGTACGAAAATTATTCCACTATGCAGTACGTTTGAAAGACTGAAATATTGTGATAACACACGCATAGGTAATATTAAAGGTATCTAATTTGTGTAGCGTGTAGGTAGTGTTCACATTTATTCATCAATGGGTTGTTGTGACATGTAGGCACCGAATTACAAATCATTCAATTTTTAGACCGGTACCAATACTACCAAGACAATGGGCTAGGAAATATATCTAATATAATTTTTTTGTCCGTATACTCCGTACTTCACATTTTTAATCCATTGCACTACGCCACTACTATTATACTGGCCACTGGGGTGCTGTGTAGCATATATTATCCATAGGCGCACATAGAGGGTGCTTGGGGGTGCTTAGCACCCCCAGTTTCCTGTAAAATTTATTTCAGTATTTTATCAATCATTTGAAAATTATTGTGATTCATTGGGTTGGAATTTTTTTCCATTACAAATAGACAATATGTAGCTTATGAATTCACGATTAATAATGTATTGATTGTATTGTATGAATGCACGTTCCACTATTCCAGTTTTCGTCTAAACGTTGAACATTAACAGCAATCATATAATAAAAATTTGCATTATCCAACAGAAAATTAAATCTTGTTTAAAATTAACTAGTGATTAGATATTATTATTATTATTATTATTATTATTATATATATAATACAATGCATTTTAATATTAATTATAGTAATTAAAAATTATTAGAATGCAGTTTATTATGGTATTAGGGGGGGGTGTGGGGGCAAAGCCCCCCACTGATCTGTTTACTGTAAATTATTCCAGCACCCCCTAAATTCACACTCAATGTGCGCCTATGATATTATCTATAAATTTTATAAACTGTTATTTTTTAATTTATTCTACTACAAATCATGTATGACATTCTCTAGCCAATATTTTAACGTCTACATGTAATTTCGTAAAAAATATAATTTTTTTAATAAATCCTTAAATGTTTTTTTTCTGGTAAGATATCTTAAGAAGTAACATACTTAAAGCGTAGGTAACTAGATGCATAATGAATTAATGAATAGCATTTGACCAATTCAACGTTGTGATAAATTTTGTGAATGAATTTTTATTTGTAACTATAAAATATTTTTTTAACTTCGATGCTAATGTTACTATTATCTCCTGTTAACGCCTATTCAAAAAAAAAAAAAAAAAATGTTGCCAATAAATTTTGTAAAATGATATAACTCACAAGTACTGTTTCTTACTATCACTTAATACAGTGGTACAGCCAGGATTTTTAAGGGAGGAGTCTAAAACTATCATTACTTTAAACTTTAAAGTAGCAAGCAAATTTCATTATTTTATTTTTTGATTAATGTAAGAATTGTAATTATAATATAAAAAATGAATGATAATTAAATGTAAAAAATAAAGGTATGTACAATGTCCTCAATGTGTATAGGAACTCAGTGGTGTAATTATGGGGGTGATATGGGGATATATCCCCTCAGAAGCTTTTTTATTTTTAGAAAACCATAATTAAATTCCCGTAAGCACAAGTCTAGATTTTTAAATCCAAAACATCATGATTTCAGTTTGTGATATGTCATGTACATAATTGAATTTCATTATCGGATAGGTATTATATTTTCGATAACGAGAGAGTGGCGTAATTATATAATCCTATGTCACTACCTGTGAACCGTTAGTCGATGATTATTGCAAATGCCAATCGAAAGTCTCGTATAGGCAACACGGCCGCCTTGAATATCGGTTTATATATAGGGGCTTTAGATGTATGGAAAAATGTTAAGCAGGTTATTACTTATTATAATTTAATATTATACTGCTTTCTTAATGTTTACAATATATCTCATTAATTTGCTATGACTGTAATTTAGATTTTTCGTGAACATTCTAAAAAGCTTCATCAAAAATATTGTATCGTGGACTCTAACCATTTTCTAAGTGTTTATTCTAAACAAAAATTAACAATAATTGATCAGTTAGATTTAGAAAGGTAAGTACTGATTTACTAAACATGTTTTTTTTGTACATTACATCACACATGTACCTAGTACCATTACTAAGTATAGGTACCTAATTAATAATTATGTAATATACAATATTATTTTTAAACATATTTACTTACTATATTTTATATAATTTTAATTAGAGTTGAACAAATAAAATAAAATAGAAAGAAGCTTATCCCAATTTATTATTAACTGTGTGATTTTGTATGGTCGTCAAGAAATAGCGTTACGAGGCCAGAGAGATTCTGGAAGTTAGTATTTAATGTTTATAAAATTGTATATATATATTTTAAGTATTAATTTAATATTTTTAATAAATGCATCTATTCAATTTTTAAACAGACAGAAACAACCAATCAACCAATCTGGGTAATTTTAGAGCTATACTTAACTATCGTAAAGATGATGATAATTTAAAATATCATTTAGAAGATCAAGGAAGAAACAAATACATTACTCCTCAAGTTCAAAATTAAATTATTTCAGCATGTGGAGAAATAATTTTAAAAGAAATAGTAAATGAAGTAAATAACTCTCATTGTTTTACCATGTCAGCAGATGAAACCACTGACGTAACAGTTGTCGAACAGTTGGCATTATGTGTTAGATATGTTGATTCATAATATAATATTAAAGAAAATTTTCTTAAATTTATACCTGCACATAGCCTAACTGGGAAAAATCTATCAGAGTCTATTATAAGTGGTAAATAATAAATAAAATATTTTATACTTTAGAATACTTTACTAGGATTTTATACTTTAGGATTAACTGAATGTGGAATTAACTGCAATTTCCTTTATGGTCAAGAATATTACGGTGTTAAAAACATGTCAGGCCAATTCAATAGTGCACAAACACACATTAGAGCTACTTTTTCTAAAGCGATATATGTACATTGTGCAGCCCACTCATTGAACTTAGCTGTATCAACTGCGTGTAACATACAACCCATTAGAAACTGTTTGAGTTTTATAGAGAAATTATAAATTTTCTTCAATACACCTAAATTTCAAAATGTGTTGTTATCTTGTATTGAAAATAGCGATACTGATATCAAAATAAAAAGCCTTAAAAGACTATGTGCTACAAGATGGGTACAGCGCTATGATGCTGTACATTATTTTGTATTAGAAGCCTTAGAACTAATTTCAGACTGGAAAGATTCATTAGGAACTGCTATAGAAGCCAATATGCTTATAAAATCAATTGTTTCAGAGTTCATTGTATCTGTTTATGTTATTAAGGTGTATAACATTATTTTTTTGAAATTTAAAATAATTTATTTCTTATTCTAATGTAAATTATATATTTTGTAATAAGTTATTAATTGTAATGTAATTTGTAAGACAAATCTAGCTATTGTTTTCATAAAGTTTGCCTCTATGCAAACAGTTACAAAGAGAGTGAATTGATTTAAAATAAGCAGTCAATCTCACAGAAGAAATAGTATCAGAATTGAAGCTAATTAGAAGTAATTGTTATTGTGAATTTAAAAAATTATTTAGTCTAGCAAAGGTATAAAATATATAGTTATTATATAAACACTTATGTTAAGCTGAGTATAATTTGTTATAACTTATAGGACATGTCTGCTTAACTAGACATTGAATTAACACTCAAAAGAATTATTAAAAAACAAAAAAAACCGTGCGAATATCTACCGTAGATTATTTTATAACTGAATTATAAGAAAGGATTTTGTCTCATTCAGATATTTTAAAAGGTACCTACAATGATGTAACATAATATTTATAAGAATTGCATATTATTATATATTGTTAAAAAATAATTAATTATTAATTATATTTATGTAGTTTGAATGCTTATTTTCAACAAATTCAAACTTAACCGAAGATGAAGAATTATTATTCAAAAAATTGATAGAATTTTATAGTCCTGATGTAGAATATTTTGACAAATCATTATTTGAATTAAAATTATGGAAGCGTAGATTAATCAAATGTGAAAAGCTTCCAAAATTTGGTCTCCAAGCACTCATTATGTGCAATGAACAAATTTATCCAAACATATTATTGCTCTTAAAAATATTATGTACATTGCCAGTCTCGGCTACTTTACCAGAGCGTATGTTTTCCACTTTGAAAAGAGTAAAAACTTATCTAAGAAACACAATGGGTCAGGTAATATCATTATTTTTGTAAATTACATGATAATTATGAGCTTTTGTTAAATTAAATACTTAATAGGACCGCTTGAATGGACTTGCAATGTTATCTGTGCACCGAGACATTGAGCTGAACTTCGATCACATACTAGATATTTTTAGCAAAAAAAACTAAAAGAAAAATTAATTTAATAATATAATTTATCAAAAATACATTTAATTTAATTTAATTGTTTATTTTATTGTTTTTTAAAACCATTATTTTATCATTTACCTCATTTAATTTATAATAATAAATTAAAATAATATTATGATCTATGATATTAAATGTTCAAGGGGAGTATGGGGGGGGGGGCGTAGACCTCCACTAGAATGATAGTTTAAACTTATATCCCACCCCAGAACCAATTCCAAATTACGCCACTGTAGTAATTGCTGTAACAACAATAAAATTATGATATTTTAGAAAGATATGACACAGTTTAAAGGGAGGTCCAGAAACGGGTCCTCCCTGGTTCCTCCACTGACATAATATAAGACAAGATATACATAACATAATAAGTATTTTTGACTACATTTGTAATTTATGAATTTTTTATTACTTAACAACAATAGAAAGTGGAATTATTTAATAGTTATTTATTACAATACTTTTATAAGTGAAACATATTTGATAAAATTTTTATCCTTACAATTGTCTGAAAATAATAAAATGATGTACATTATGAGTAAAACTAACAAATAAGTAAAAAATTGATGTTTTAAAATTAAAACCAATATAAATAAAAAAAAATAAATAATAAAATTTTTTTTTAAATAATTATAATATTTATAATAATTATACATTTCTACATTCTTATAATTTTAGATGTCTGCGTCTTTATTAAGAATGCCATAACTTGATTTACAAACCCATCTATTTTAAACAATTTACTATTGGTTTTTAAATTCCAAATTCCTTTTTTAGCGTTTTCCAATAATTGTTTGTTCATTGCCAATTGTATTGCGATTTCAATATATTGTTTTTCATTATGAGCAAACAAATTTTTCATCCCTAATGAAAACAATTGTGAATTTGTTACAAGAGTTACAAGTTTTTTTCCCGGAAATGTTATCACTGGAATGCCGGCCCATAATGCATCCAAGCAAGCCATGTGTCCATTGTATAAAAATGAATCCAAATAAATATCAGCCAACTGGATTCGATTCAAATGTTGATATTTAGGAATTAAGTCAGCAAAAATGATACGTGATGAATCAAAGTTTAAATCAGAAGCAAATTTTCTTAAATTGTTTTCAGCAGCATCATTCAAACTTAAAAGCCATAGTACAGAGTGAGGAACATTATTTAAAATAGTTAGCCATGTACGGAAACTAAGTGGGTCTATTTTATAGAGTTTATTGAAATTACAAAAAACAACAACATTATCCGGTAAGTTGTAAAAAACTCTCACATATTCTTTTGAAGGTTGTTCTTCAATATATGCTTTATTAAATGATATAAAATCTGGAATTTCACTGGTTTCCATCTGGTTTCCATCAAGATGTAAACTATTTTGATCCAATATATTATTTGTATTTTCCATGACATTGCGTTGTAGTAAATTTGGAAACTTCTCCTTATGATCGCCAATAAAAATAGTTGAATTTAAGAATATAATTTTATCATTGAATTCCTTTATTTCATTTGCCAATTTTTTATCATAAAGTAATGAATAATGTGCAAAAAAGTAATCTATAAACGCCACATTACTACTAATACAGGGATAACCATACCATGAAACTTGAACTTTAGCCGGTCTTAAAGCAAATATTTTAATTATGGAATTCTTAGTATAACCACCCATGTCAACTAATACATGGATTTCATCACTATTTATAACTTTAGCAGCATCAATTACATTAAGATGTGATAATTTTTTAAAGCTTATGTCATTCTTCATCCTGAAATTCAAAAAATTGATTTTATATAATTAATATTATAATCAATGTGTCTGACAAAATTTTATTTAAGATTTTAATAGAAAAACAATACACAATGAGTGCTTTTGAAGAAATTAGATTATCTTTATGTTAAATAAAAAATATAGAAATTACAAAGTATTTGTTTCTAAAGAATCTAAAATTGCATGGCAATAAAATTAAGTTATTTTTAATTTTATTCTGTAAAATAATTGAAGTAATATAATGTATTGAAAAAGGTCTACAAGTAACAAACTACATTTAATTGCATTTATTAATTTATATAATTTAAATAAAATATTTACCAGGATTGGTTATTATCATTTGAAGATACGGAATAAAAAAATAATTGTACTTTGGACGAGTACTTTTGGATTAAGTATTCCAGGATCGTTGAAATTGGATGTTTATAAAAGTTGGTTAATATAAAACCAAACCTTAATTTTTTGTTTAAAGATGTTGGATAAAAAAACTGTTGTGGTCCTTCAATTGATTTTTCTAATTCCTCAACACATTGTTGTACATACTTGATACCAATTTTTTTTTGTACTTCAAACGATAATGGAAACAACAATGAATCATGAGGCAATAAGGTCAAAACTTTATCATCATCAAGTTGTCTATTAACTATTTCTTTTAATTTGACCATGTGAGAATCATAATTTGACCAGTCACAAACTTTTTGTAAACATAGTACTAAATTACAAAATACTTCTGGAAAATCTGGTTTTAGTTTTAGTATAGTTTCATATGCATGAATTGCATCAACAAAATTATTATTGTCTTTTTGTATAGAACCAATGTTAATATAAGCTTCTAAACATAGTGAATCAAGCTGAATTGCCATATAAAAATGACGTAATGCATCTTTACTATTGTTTAACTTGATACATATGTTTCCCAAACATAAATATATTTCAACTGATGTATTGTCATATGTCAAAGCTTTTTCATAATGAAGAATAGCAACATCAAGATTTCTAAATTCCTTGTACAAAAAATTTGCAAAATCTAAATGTATTTGAAAAGCATCTGGTTCATCAATTCGAAGAACTGTATTAAAGACTTCAATATCATCATATTGGCCCAATTTTTGTTTTAGAAATAACATATTCAGTAAAGCATTTAAATGACCTGGTTGAAGTAAAAGAGTCATTTTATAATAATCTAGAGCCATTTCGTTTTTATCAAATTTTTCATAAATTATTGCACTATCACAGTAAACATGGGCAAAATTTGGATTCAATTCAATAGCTTTTCTATACCTGTTGAAAAATAAATTATGATATAATTACAAATTATGCTCAATTAATTATTTTCAAAATATATATAATAAAATAATAATAATAATATAAATTAATTCAACAATGTACTATGTATAAAAATGTTACAGAAATTAATAACAAAGAAGTCCCAGGATAGCATTAATCAACCTATTTTAATTATTGTATCTTATACTAAGTCTTAAATAAAATAAAACAATTATAATTTATTAATAATTGATAACCGATAATCAAAAATAGCAGTGATTAAATGCATGCTTGCAAATATATTCATTAATAGTATCAAATACTTTTTTGTGCATCATATAACAATGACCTTTAAAGTTGAGATAGAATAACTGACAATTGAAATATAAGGAATTCTATACAAAATATAAAAATATAAAGCAATATTATAAAAAAAAAAAAAAAAAAAAAAAATTATAGGAGTCAGTACTTACTAATGAATAATAAGCAAAAAAACATTAAACTAGGGAAGGCAACAGTTTACACTGCATACATATGAAATATTAGATAAGTCAAGAATAAAAGCCAACAGAAGGGATAAGATATATTTATAAGCTAATAACTAAAATAAACAAAAATTATTTTGATGTAATTAATTTCTTTATAGTGGAACTCATTCTTAAAATTAAATTGTCTTAACTTCAGTTTACCAAGACATCGTAGATGATCAGTATATTACTAGACAAAAATGTATTTATTGATTATTATGTTAATTAATAGTTACCTGATTAAAGCCAAGTTAAAATGACCCAGTAGATGCATAATAAGTCCAACTTTCCAATGACCATATACATTCTCAGGATTAAAATACGCAGCAGTAATAAATGCATTTCTTGCATTTTCTAGATCAGATCTATCTAAATACAAATCGCCTAATGAAATGCTAATGTCTGATGCATTTTTATATTTATTTAACTTTTGGTATACTGCAAAAAGATATTTATATAAATCTTCTCTTTGTGAATTCAATTCAATACATTTTTCAAAATAATTTTCAGCTTCTTCAAAATTTTCAAGATTGTGAAAGTAAACCAAAGCCAATTCTAAAGTAATATCTAGATTATCAGGTTGAAGTTTTAAACATTTTTTATAGGTTTCAACAGACAATAACATGTTATCTTGATAACAATATGTAACTGCTAAATATCTTAAAGCAGAGATATTATCCGGATCTAATTCAATAGCTTTTTCAAATGAATTAACTGCTTTAGAATACTCTGTTACTTTGAGATATGCTAATCCTAAATTAACTAAAGTATTTTTTAAATTAGAATTTACTTCTAAAGCTTTATGATAATTTAAAATAGCTTTGTCAAATTTATCAGTCTTGAAATATACGTCTCCTAAATTGCATAAAGTTTCTTGAAATTCTGGGGCACTTTTCAGGGCAATCTTAAATTGCTGTTTAGCATTTTTTAATCTATTTAAAGAAAGAAGGAATTTTCCATACTTGTTTCGTACAGTATATAAATCCGGTTTTAAATTTAAAATCGGGATATAAATATATTCAGCAGATTTTGCATCATTTGTTTTAAATAATGCTTCAGCATAATTAATCCAACCATTGATATAAGAAGGTTTCTTAAAAATAGCTTCAGATAAGTAATTTTTTGCTAAATCATATTGGGATTGTTTCCAATAATTAGATGCAATGTTATTCAACACTTCAAAAGAATTTGGATTTATATTTATAGCCAATCTCAGGAAACTAAAAGATTTTTCATAGTTTCCGCATTTGAAAAATGATTCAGCCATAAGAGTTATAATATTTAAATCATTAGGTAAATGCCGAAGTAGTTCTTCACATATTTGCCGAGTTTTGATGAAATTTCCATTTTGAAGTTCTAATTTCGCAGATATTTGAAGATCAGCTAAGTATAAAAAGTAAAATAATTATATACATATATCATTTTAGAACATCAAAAATATTTAATATTAAGTTATCTCAATAATTAATAAATTAATAAAATAGTAATTAAATTTAAATGAAGTTCAGTCTATGATGAAATATGATAGAACAGAATCTAACACAAACTTAAACCCAGTTTACAGATTTGTAAAAAATTCTATTAAGTATTAAGATTACATTGTTCTATTAGGAGAACACACTAATTCAATAAGCGTAAACTGATATCCAGGATCTTGCCTTCTAAAATATAGGTATATACTAAGAAATTCTCCTTTTCATTTTAACCTTTGTATAAGTCTTATTTAAGGTATATCTAAGTATATATTAATCAGCATGTTTTATGATATTTTTTAATTTATTAATGTTTTTAGTAAATATTAAATCACCCTACCCTTATACTCATACTAAAATTAATTACTTAAATAAGACTTGTATTAGATTTAAAAGAACATTTACTTGCTTATGTTGTCTCTGTCTTACATACATAAAACTTGACTAATTTTTGTTCATTAAAGTATTACTACTTAGAAATGCTCATAATTCACTAAAAAACTATTCAAGTATTATGAAAATCTGACAATAGAACACAGATAATGCTTTTACTTTTAAGGTTTGATAAGTGGTAATTTAACTCGAATATTCATGAATTAAATGCATTAAATTAATTCTACTGAACAAAATTTTACTATACAGTATATTAATAAGACTTATTTAATTGTAATTGTGTATTGAGAAACAAATAGTTCAATATTTTACTTGTCATTAGGTATCCATTATGATGGCATTATTTTTTTTCCTTTTTGATTGTATTTTAACTTTAACTTGCCAAGACTACTTTCTCAGAATTTTGAATGAAAGTCTTTTGTTAGTCTAATCACCAAGAATACTTTATGATATGACTTTTGACATAGCTATTAGTCATTAACCTTAATTTTAGTATTACAGTTGATATTTTTTTTGAAATATTACATTTATTATGTTATTAGTATTTAATTATTAAAATAATTTATATCTATACAAAATTATATCATTTTATAAAACTCAAAATTTAATACAGTAGAAGCCGCTTATTAGAAACACGGATAATTGATACAATCGTGTTATTGAAACAAAATGTCTCGGGACAGATCGGCCGTATATTAGAACATTGAAAATAAATCGGATTATTGAAACATCACATCGGTTATTTGAAACAATTGGGAGAAGGTCAGTTGACATATACACCGATTATCTAGCGATAACCAATGTACTTCAATTTTATCTTTGCTGTCGTTACGTTTATTTTTACTGTAATTTATCGCGAGAATGCTCTTTCTGTACGTACTGGTCGTACCGTTTGTAGTTTAGCTTCAGCGTGCGTATGTAAAGATTATTAGTGTTTCCTTTTTCTAAAAATCTAAAAATGTCTAAACGCTAAGATTTTAGCCAATTTTCATGCGACCATTCGTGGTTTGAAACTCATTTGACCGATTTGCTAGCCCAATACACACGCTCTGATATTTTCAATGCGGACGAGACTGGGCTTTATTTTGGAGCTCTACCTGAACACACATACGCACTCAAAATAAGTGACAAAGCTAAAGGGGCAATATTACTCGTATGAAAATATGGTCATGGAGTTACTCGACGTAAAAAAACAAATTACGAATGATAAATATTTTACATAATATCGTAAAATATACACAATTGTGCATACTTTTTTAAATTATACAATATAGGTACATACATACATACATATTTTTTTCGCGTACCTATTATTCATTTTTTTTTTTTCAATCGCTTATTAGAAACAATCGGTTAATTGACACAATTCACCTTGGTCCCAAAGTGTTTCTAATAAGCGGCTTTTACTGTATTATCATTCTAAAATTACTGAAAAATAGTAAAAATAGAATTATAGTATAAATAGATGAAAATATCTTAAAATAATTCAAAAATATCATTATGTATAGTAAAATTTATAATAATATTAAATATGTTAACATGAATGTTTCAAAATTAAAATAAAATAATAATAAACATCATTAATTTATCATTTGAAAAAATAATTTTGTTCAAATTTAACCTTAAAATGTTTTTAAAAATAATTGTACACTTATATAAATTTATAATTCCAGTATAAACTACTACTTACGAATCTTATATTAAGCTTTCAAGATATAATATAAAAAGATAGATTTTTAAGAGTTTTTTTTATAATTTTGGAAAATTTAAAATTCAAATACTCATAACAAATTAATTTGTCTTTCTGCTTAATTTTTTTAGATAATTTGAAAAATGTATAAAAAATTTTTTATTACATTTTCAAACTTCAAGTTAAGAATTATAAATATTTTGAATTTTTAAATACAAAATTATATATTTATTATTTTTAGGTTTTGAGACAAATTTAATCGAAATTCCAAATTTCAACGCATATAAAAAATATTATGACTTTACATTTTTGATATTTTTTTATTGAGAAATTAACAGCTTCTAAGGAGTTTTGGATTAAATTTGTTTTAAAATATTTTTAAGCATTTCTATCAAACGAGTTTTTTAATCAACATTCATAGATAAAATCTACAAAAAATTGAACAATTAAATTAAAATTTATCTTTTATGTAAAACAATGATTTAATTATTTGGTCAAAACTTCAAGTAATTACGGTAATTCATTTTTGAGTTACACAAAAACAAAATCAATTTTGTCAAAATTTTTTAATTTTTCTGGTTATTTCCATCTCGGATATTGAATGTCTTTATATTTTATACATATTAGGAGAATACTAATATTAATTATGTCATGTATTTATGTTTTTAATCAAATTATATTGGAAAATTGTTAAAAAACAACACCTATATTTCATGAAGCATACTTGTTTTGTTATTTTTTGTAAAAAGGTAAAAAGGTCACAATTAAGTAACAACTGAACAGACACTAAAAATAATTACCCTAATTGATCAATGATAGTTAGAACAGTACTAAGTATAATTCTAAATTATTACATTTTGTGTTAAAACAGAGACAGCTCATTACAATTGATCACCTGAATAATAATATATATAAACTATAGAGCATATTATCGATAATAAGTAATAACTTACCAAGGTAATTGTAATGTACCTAAAAAATAAAATAACAAAAAATCATGAAAAAATATACATCAAGTACTGGTTGTTATTGATATAATTATTTACCTCTAAGGCTTTATAAAGAGTCTTAATGGTCTCATCGCCTAAGTTTATTGAATATGCCATTCCAAAGGTTGCTCGTGCCAAATCTTTAACTTTTGTTATTCCTAATAATTTAAATTTTTTGGAGATGTCCTCAAATCTTTAAAAAATAAAACAATAATAATAAAATAAATGTATGATAAGAAATTGAATATATGTATTATAATACTCAATTGCTGAACAAATTTACGTCATGTTACAATAAAATTGTTATTATTTTATCTGAAAAATATGATAGGTTCATAGTCAGTAATATTTGTTACTAAATTCTTGTACTGGACAAAATATAATATTGTCCCTATTATATATTTTGAAAATACTATGATTTGTGTAATGCAATAAATATTAGATTTTTTCAAAATATGCAAGATAAAAATGCTGTCAGAAGCTTGAAACTATTATGATTTGTAATAATTACCGACAAAAATATTTAAGAATAATAATGAAGTATTGTTCAACATTTTTCCTTCTAATTATCTAATAATAAGTGAATTATATATTTTAGCAAACTGTGGCAGTAAAATCAAGGACACAGATAGCAGGACTTTGATGGTTAAATAGTTGATATAGCTTATAACCATAGACTAAGATATAAGAATAGTATAGTCCGTGAGTATAACTGAATATGTAAACAGGTACATTTTATACCATAGTTTTTGTTAAATATAAATATAATCATCAAGGACTTTGGGCAGAGTTTAAGCTAGGCATTTAGATACTGCAAGGAAAACATATTGACACACTTAAAAGCATTATGTTAATTACACAAGTTTACTAGTAACTATCACATTCGATACTGTTTTTAGCAGCTATTTATATTTAATACTTGATATCAGATTTAGATCCAGAATTGTTTTTGGATAAATCCAAAAATTTGGCTATGAAAGGTAATACAGTTAACACAGTAAATTTAAATTAAATGATCAAGTTCAAAATCATTGTTTTTGAAAATTTTGGGTGAGACTGGACTATCTAGTCAACCATTTGAATTTACCTAATGCATAATTAGCATAGAATATAGTAAGTAAGTAATAGGTAATAATTAATAAGTTATACCTTACAGCTTTAAAAATATTAAAAACATCCACGAGAAGAAGGGATAATTCATAAGTTCCATTTTACTGGCTACAGAATAATAGTTCCAAAATAATAAAACATTTGAACATAATTATAAAATTAATAAAAATCATCTTAAAACTTTATTTCATTCAGAAATCAAAATTCAATAAGCAGTTAAAAATCTAGTACCATAAGTGGTATATTCACATAAAATAAACATGAATCAAGAATTAATATTTCACACACAACTAAAATAAGTAGTTTTAAATTAGATATGCATGCATTATACTTTTAATTTATACTTAGATCAAAAGAAAAGAAACCTAGATTCTTATACATAATATTAATACTTAAATAAAATATTTACTTTTTAGGGTTACTTTCTGACAAAATATTTGTAATAACAGATATTGGTGATTCGCATTTTACATGATCTGGACAAAACATCTTCTGTAAATAACAATATAATTGTTACAATTAATAAAATTATTTTTACTAGTTCATCAAAAATCAGAAAATTAAATTAACATTATCTTATGATAATGCATTGTAATTGTATTTTAGGCGTTCAAACACCCCCCCCCCCCCCAAAAAAATATTTGGTTATTTGCATAATTATTTACTTATTCAATTTTAATGTTAATAATTTTATTATATCTTTAAACAGGTATAATATTACATTGTGTTTGTGAAAAATCGGCTAAAGAAAATAAAAATACTCAAACAGAATTTAAAATAAAATTATACCTAATGTGTATTATTGGCATATTTCCTATTAAGTATACTCATGGTGTATTTCCTATATTTATTAAAAAAAAGTTCTATTTTTTAATAACTGATTTTCAAAAACACCCCCTCCCCAATTTTTTTTTCTATGTACGTCCCTGAATATATCTATTTGTATATATTCTGTAACTTGTGTTTAATCTATCTCCCATTTTGGTATACAATTTATAAGATTTTTAAATAAAGAATAAAAAAAAATCTATGAGAAGAATCAATTAATCATTAAAATACCTAATAACGAGGACTAATTCAATAGAGTCTTTAAAAATTTTGAATTATAACATAGGATTATTGACATTTAAAGTGAGTATAATAATCTTAGAAATATCACATACCTATATAAATGACTGATTAATTAATATACTATTTACAGAGAGTAGTAATGGATTCATAATTTAAAATATTAGACATATATGATTTTTAAAGACAATTATTTATAATTATCCTCATAAACTTATGACTAAACTATAATAATCGAAAATAAAATATTTTAAAACTCTAGGTTTATAATCATCTGCCAAGTCTATGAAATTTTGTTTGTTTGAGCCACATTTTTTTACAATATTTCTAAGTCATCATTTGCATAATTTTGAAAGGAACATGAGCGATTTGGAAATTAAGGTTTTCAAACATTTTTTTATCAGATAGAAAGTAATAATGGTATTGGAAATTTGAAACTGCTAAACATTTAATCTTAGTTGGATACAATTTGTAGTGGGTAATTCATTTATTTTAAAAATTAACATTTAAATAAATTTTAGAATTTTATTTTTAAACAATAATAAAACAAATTAAGGTTAAAGTTGAAATTTTAATTTATTCTGAATTGGATATTTAATAGTTAATTTATTTATTAAATTTGACTAAATTTTATTATTGCAAAAACAATGTAAAATCAAAATAATGAATAAATTACAAGTTTAATACTGGTGACAACAACAATTTATTGTTATGAAGTATACTACAATAGTTGATGTTAACAGGTATTCATCAATTATAATTTGTATTATTAGAAGAATTTGTAGGTACACACATTGTTTTATCTTATATATAACATACAAAAATTAACAAAATAGAAGATCCAATAATTTTGTGTTGTCAAGTTAAATGACTTGAATTGACTTTTCAATTATTTGTATTCTCATATTAGATATTTACAATATTTTAGTTTATAAGTTATGATTAAGTAAAAAATTAATATTTAAAAATGGAAAAAATGCTCATAACTTAATAATAAACTAAAATATTTTAAAAATCAAAACAAGTGAAAATGGGTAATTTTCTTTTCTTTAAGTTTGATAATGATCCAATTCACTTTAATATTAAAACTAACAACAAAATATTGAAACTATTAAATAATATAATATTATTATATTTAGTTATGTTTTGCATAAATAAGATAGAGATAATACATGTAGATACAAAATCCTCTTAATGAGGTATAAATACTGGAAATTTTTGTGTCTACGACAAGTTTTTTAGCTAGTCTCACGACGCAATATTCAATGTTGTCAATAATCCATACCATATGGCCAGTGACAATTTGTAATCGCCAAGAAAGTATTTTTATCAGTATTGACAAAGCATCATAAGCAATATATCGAAATACAATCTGCATTGGACATTTTGAAAGTCAAAAAGTATATTAATATTAAATAAATAAGAAAAAAATAATATCAATAGTCATACAAGTATCAACATAAATGGCGAACCGTAAACAATGCTATCAGAACACTGTAAGGTTCTTTATAGTTAAATGTATAAGCTTTTCATTCGTTGCTAGTTGCTACTATCTAAATAGGTATATAATAAAACGACTTACAATGACAATTTAGACGTTCATACTTACCGAAATATATTTATTCCGATTTTCAAATATTTAATAATAGTAGTCTTCAGCCGCGACAAGAACACAATAATATTATAAAATACAGCTATGCCATACAGTAGACTACTAGAGATCCTATATAAGAGACTTTACAGCACGTACTATCTATACTCACTACGACAGAACCGTAGAAGGTGTTAAAAGCATGCAGTACAAAATGTATTAAAGACTTTCTGACTCCAGTACTCCGGTTTACTAAAATGTATTTAAATCCATTGAAATGAACTAGCAAACACGCTTTGGTCTCGTGAAGTTAATGAAATAAACAAAATTTTTCGACTAAACTATACTTGAAAAATACACTGGAAGGATATGGGTTAGAATGACGGTGCATTACAACCTCAAAACACTTCGGAAGTGTAGACCAGCGTTTTACATATTATTTGGGTGTGTCGATAAAACTGGTGTAGTTGATGCACTTCGGTGCACCTACAAGCAACACCATTGGTTAATAATCCGCGTTCCGTATGATGTGACGCCGGTCCCTCCGTCACGGGTCCAAACTCCAAATGCGGTATAAACCACATGTTGTATGGCACAAAACAATAGTTATAGTTGTTATTTTCAGTTATCATAGACCCGTTGGCTGAAGCGTGCTAGATCGATCTCTCTTGTAGATTCTGTACATGGGATAAATAATTTTATTCGGTCAGTAACAATACAAATCACAGGTCTATAGGGTTATTTCATATTTAATATGCAAACACTGAAACATCCTATAATGTTTTAGTATGTTATATTTTTTAATCTATATATACATATAGTAATGCACTATCGAACTTGCACACTCAAAAACGATGTGCAAATTATAAATATATCGTTTGGTCTGAGGGATTGAATATTGTATGGACTTTATCGCTAACAGTGTGTTGTGCGAAAAAATCGTGTACATCTATTAGCTATATCAGAATGTCCTTATAGTGACTGTGTGCTGTTTAAATTCGCTCTCCTTACGAAATTGAGATTTCCGTGAGCCTGGTGGTAAATCTGTATCCGGAAGACGATGGAGAGGGAGGGAGGTGTTGATGATGATAGGGATGAAATATAGATACTACGCAAAAGGGATTCAGGAGGTATCGGGTCACAAACCCCCCATGATATTTTGAAAACCCCTAAAAAAATGGCAGAAATATTTTTCAAAATAAAAAAACTTTAAACTTGATACTAACATTTTTTTATTTTTTGATAAAATAAAAATCTATCATCAAACCAATTTAACTTGCCAAAAAATATTTCGTTAATAAAAGTTTTGAATGTATAAATATAGGTAAGTTTACCAACAAATTTTGGCAATCCCCCCATGAGAAAATCCTGGCTACGCGCCTGAAGGGATTTAGTGACAAAAAGATTCGTGTACCTGTATCTTCCTGGAATTGTAAAAGTATTTTTATTGTCATAATAATAATTATTATACTCTTTTGCAGTAACGTCTTTTAATGAAATTAATTAAGGACATATTTTTTTTTATCAAGAAATGTAAAAGAAAAAAATGTGTAAAGTTAAAATATGAACAAAGTGTTTAATAAAAATATGTATTAAAACGAATTCGGACCTATAAGTTGAAACCTTTAAATGAATTTTAAAAAAAACCAACGTTTAATTATATCTTATTAAAAGTTACAGAGCTATTAATTATATAACGACGAGTTATTTTTGGTGGGAGAGTGATAAACCTTTTGGCTCCCAGGTACCTAAGACATACAAGGTCATCTTGACAAAATTACCAGTTCAACTAAGGCTGGGGAAATATACGATTAAGAGAGTACAGATAATATAGTTGCATGTATTAGAGCTGTATATAGTTCATCATCTACATATTATAAAGTATCCATGTTGCATTATTGTTAATCTATTCATTAAGAAAAATCATTAAGCATTATTTTCTGATAAAATAAATTAATGGGACCCTATAGCAAAACAGAATAGTTTATCAACAATTCAGCCAAGTGTAAACTCCTACATGAATAACCTTTTTACCTGTATCATCATTAAATGTAAACTCCTACATCAATAACCTTTTTACATTTTTACCTGTAAATCAATGGTACCGTTATCTTCTACATGGACATTTTTACCTGAAAAAAATAGGGTAGTATTATTGAAAGGCGTCGCCCGAGTGCGTCCCGTTAATCATATCGTACCTTTTTAATAGCCCGATTGCGTCCGCGATAATATCACAAGTAATTTTGGTATATCCCATGTGCGTCCGCGTATTATTGCTAGCAATATTTGTCTTTATGGATAAAATGCATTGATATCTTATAATATTACACTGCTTGCATTTACATTATAGTCCATACGTAGAAATCTATTATTCATAACTAGTATGTGTAGTGATGTATATGCAGCTAATAGTTTTGTTTAAATATATTTAATTAACATTTTATAAATTTCTAGATATGATTATGTGAAAATCATGGCACTGAAAAGTCAACCAAAAAAATAATTTAAATATTAACCCAACAGTTTAAAAATGGATGTAAATCTAAATAATTAAATAAACATAATAATAATAAACTTTTATAATAAATATAATTAAATAACTAATTATTTTTGGGGTGTATGCCAGTTCACCTCCTCGTGGTGCACCCTGGGTAACTCTAAATGAACTGGGACGCACTTGGGCTACGTCAAAGTAGTGACCTTTTCCTCATGGGACGCACTCGGGTAAGACCTTATTCCGGGCGAATTCGGAACATTAAAAAAGGACATTTTGGGACGCACTCGGGAGTTGCCCATTATTGAATTTGCAATTTTAAAGTTAAAAAGCTCGAACATTTAAAAATTATCATAACATGAAAATAATAAACATACAAAATATTAATACTTAAATAAACATTAGCAGTACAAAATGTTAATAGATCAGCGATAGTAATTCGTAGGGCTCGGATTTTGTAGCAAAATAAATCCTTAAAAAAGCATTTATTAATTTAATTCTAAAAAAGCAAATTTCAATTACACATAAAATTAAATATTAAAAAAGGAATTCACAACCATATATTTAGTCAAGTTACTTTCATTGAAACTCATTCTATTGGGTGCTAATATATTTTTATACATAGAAAAAGACCTTTCCACGTCAACCGATGTAATCGATACATATTTCATATAAACTAAATCATTTGAATCATACTGTTCCACATTTACGTTTAGTGCAGTGCCATTATGAATACTATTGACTTTTTGAAGTTCTGCCCATCCATTATTTTTTGAAAACTATTTCGGCACAATAACGACAGTTATTTTATCAGTCATATATTTATTACTGGTTTTTTCCAGTGGCGTGCCCAGCAGGTAGGCCTGGTAGGCCCGGGCCTACCCTGTTTTCAAATAATAATTATTAATATTTTTCAAGAAACATAATTTTATACAATTTTTTGCTTCATAATACGATATGTAATTGAATCATTTTGGAACAAAGATTATTTATTTATTACCCACTTATAGCAAGCGTTTATACGTTATTAATAATTCTTTCCTTTGTCGCAAACAATTGTAGCCACAGGACTGCTTATCGGCTAAAAATTGTAAATAATAGACAATAATACACCCGAAGTGAGTTATTTATACATTCGTCACTGACCGTTCACTGCCGACAATCGTCATTTGATATAAGATAATGAATATGGTTTACAAAATATATTTTATTAGTTTATTACAGTGTGTACTGTGTAGTGTGTAGACGTATTATAGTGACTTGTGTGTAACCGAGCCGATCGAGGAAATCGTTTTGTCTGTTTTTGTTTATGTACACTATTAGAATAACCTAAGTACTTTTTTTATTTTATATTGATTATAACTTGACTAATAATTAAATAAAAATAAAAATATGATTAGCCAGTTTTTTAAACCTATTCCGAAACCCACAAGGACATTGAACGATGACGATAGTACAATAGATCAACCACAAACAAAAATGTTAAAATTAAATGTTACCTCAACTTCTAACGAGTCTTCTATTTCCTCGTCTAGCTTAAATGTGCTTGATATTAGCTTAAATAGTGATGAACAACCTATTCAGCCGATTATCAATTTTCCACGTCGTAAAATTTGTGAAAAACAACGTAGTTTTCAAAGTTCATGGTACAAAGTTTATCCTTGGATTGAATATTCTGTTCAATTGGATGCAATTTTCTGTTTTTTTTGTCGTCATTTTACTAGTTCTATATCTCGTGAAAAGCATCAAGATATTTTAATAGCCACAGGATATAATAATTGGAAAAATATTTCGGGGATGGCAAAAAAACATAACTCGGCAGATTCGCATAAAACATCGTTAGCCAAATATCAAGGTTATATATCATCAAAAAGTATAGGAGCTGTTACAACTCAAATGAATAGTCATGTCGAAGAGAATATAAATAAAAATCGAGAAGTATTAAAAAGTGTAATTCGTTCAGTTTTGTATTGCGCACGACAGGATATAGGTTTACGTGGTCACAATAATGTAATCGAATATTCAAATGAAGACGAACACGACTTAGAAACTACAAAAAATCAAGGTAATTTTAAAGAACTATTAGATTTACTATGTTTGGAAAATGAAAAGTTTAATATAAATTTAAAGTCCCTACCTAAAAATGCTAAATATACATCAAATAAAATCCAAAATGATATTTTATTTGCGTCTTCAAATGTCATTTTACAAACTATTATTAAAGAAGTGAATGAAGGTAGTTCGGTTTATAGTTTAATTGTTGATGAAGCTCGTGATGCGTCAACATTTGAACAAATGTCAATATGTGTCAGATATGTACATAAATTAACTATAAAAGAAAGGTTCTTAGGATTTGTACAAGTAGAAGAATTAGATGCACTGGGCCTAACTAATTCTATTATCGAATTTTTAAATTCAGTTGGTTTAGATATTACAAAATGTATAAGTCAATCCTACGACGGTGCATCAGTAATGTCTGGTTCTACGAATGGCGTACAAGTAAAAATTAGAGAACTTTCTAAAAACAAATGCCCTTATATACATTGCTATGCACATCGGCTTAATTTAGTTTTGGTCGATGTTGCTAAATCAGTTGAGGTTGTTGACAATACGATTGGATTGCTTGAAGCAATTTATGCATTTCAATCGAGTTCAACTTTACGTTATAAAATATTTTCTGATGTCCAAAAAGATTGTGAAACAATTTTAAAAGTCCCTCAACATAGTGATACTAGATGGGTTGCAAAATATAAAGGTATTCATTTTTTTTTAATTCGTTGTGAACATGTCATAAAAGCTTTATCACAACTGTCAAGTAGCTCAAAAAAAAAAGAGGCCGTAGAAGCCAAAGGATTATTAAACCAATTTCGATCGTTTGACGTATTATTTGTTTTAACATTTCTTGATAACCTTTTATCAACTATCAACGTACTTTCAATACATTTACAATCTTCTTCTCTTGATATAATTAAGTGTTTAAATTTAATTGATGCTACAATAAAAGAGCTTCAAAGTTTACGTTCGGATGAATTTTTCAATAACTTTTATAAAAAAGCTCAAATTATGGCTTCAAATTTAAATATCTCTATGGATAATTATGAAAAAAGACAGAAAAATATTAATAGTACATTAAGTGATTATGTAATTACTTCAACAATTGGCTTAAAATGTAATAAAACTACGACTCAAAAATTGCGAATTATGTATTTTACAGTAATAGATAATATGTTGAATGAAATGAAAAAAAGATTTAATAACAATTCAGAATTTTTAACTGCTATTTCAGTATTCAATCCGATATCAACAAACTTTTTAAATGATGATTTTGTTTTAAAGTGTATAAATTATTATGGAGATGATAATTATTTCTCTGACCAAGTAATAAGTCAAAGCAAATTAGCAAAAAATATGTACAGTAGTTGTAAAAATATCATAGATTTTTACAACGAAATATGCATTATGGGGCAGTCATTTGGAGAAATTAAAAAAGTCATTGAACGAGTATTAGTTATACCTGTAAGTTCAGCATCGGCCGAAAGAAGTTTTTCAACAATGAAAAGGATAAAAACTTATTTACGAACATCTATGTCTACTACACGTCTTCATAATTTAGCGTTAATTTCTATTGAGAGGGAGTTAAGTTTTGAATTAATTCAGGATCCTACAAAGATTGTTGACGAGTTTGCTAAATTGAAAAATCGAAGACTTCAATTCACTAAATAATTATTATATTTTATATTTTTATGTACTTATAATTAAAAAAACTATTGTTTCATTTGCATTCATTTAGGTATTATTCAGTTATATAAAAACTTAATTTTATTTTTTAATATGTAACTTTAGGTATTATTAACAAGTCAAATATGAGGAATAAATTGTGTTGTACTATATTATTTTATAATCATTTTTTCTGATTCAATTTAAAAATATTATTAAGTTTCTAAAAAAAAAAATAATGTGTATTGTGTACATATAAACTAAAATAATTATAACCGGGCCTATCCTACATTTTGATCCTGGGCACGCCTCTGGTTTTTTCACTGTCTTATAATTTCTGGTAATACTAATATAGTCCAAGACGTATAATATACATAGAAATAAGCTAAGTTTTCAAGAAAAATATATAAAAATCAAGAAAAAATAACCAAATAGGAGAAAAGCAATAAAAAGCAGATTTTGTGGAAAAAAGCAAAAAAAAGTTTACTTCATTAAAATCAGAACGATTCAAAACGTATTTATATAAAAGAATTATCTTTCTATCACACTTCCCTCAAAAGAAGCATTTGCTACAAAATCCGAGCCCTAGACTAATTAATATGGAATTGACACAACACAAACAAACAAAAATTATTTAAATACATAAATTTATACTTACACAAAAAAATAAATATATTCAGGGAGATATTTCACGTTTAGGTTTTATCTTTTAAGTATAACACAAAAATAAATGTAAATGATTATGAGTTATGACTTGTGACTATTGTTTTTTTAAATTTTTATTTTAAATTTATACTTTTGTATAATATTATGCATTAATATATTACAAAACTGATATATTTTTACAGTGGTACGAGCGGTATCCTTTTTTATCATCTTTTGTAGAAGTTAACACTATTTTTATGTAGAAGATTACATTACATTTGTAAGAGTTTACCATTTCCCAATAATTCAACTAATATTCAATGTAAAAGTTTTTCGTTCGACCATACTCGTATCGGGTTCACAGGGCACAGGTCAATAGTGGAGTTTATAAAAACAAAATAAAATTAACGTGGAAATATCATATACATATAAACAATATTAATCCTATCAAGTAAAAAAAATAATAAAAATATAAGACGTCTCCTCATTTTACGGACACGTTTATGTCATTTATTTTATTTTTCCATCTATTGTGATACCCATGTGAGCCCGGAGAGGGGGCAAGACGGGGCATTTGCCACCCCTTGGAATTCAAATATAATGTTGAACATTATAGCTTTTATTTTGATTTAAATAAACATTTCGTTGATATTTTTACTAAAATATGTGGGGGTGGCCAAATAATAATGATTGGTAAAAATGAAAGATAAAATTATTTAATTAAACCCTTGTTCGTCGTAATAACAATATATTAATTAATATAAAATAACACGTAGATAAGATGACTGATACACATTACGCACACGTTTAAAAATAAACCGAATGTACAATATTGTTATTTATTTTATCGTTTAGAAACTATTGTAATAATATTGTGAAATTATTAAATTAAATTAATTATTATTCGTCAACGCGCCGTCAACGGTGAAACACGGACCACGCTTAACTACGTACGTATTGTATTTATAATATATTTAATATTTAATTTTATTGTGATTATGGACATCATAATTTTTTTTTTAAATCCAAGCTTTTTGATTCTCTTAATGAAGTCTTTACTGACTCTTATTTCAACTATTGAAATAAATAATACAGTCAATACAAAGTCGTCGGAATTGTGTGTAGTTGAAAATTCTTTAATAACGACTAAATACCATATAATTTTAAAACATTTTGTAGTTTGCAAGGAATTAATTTTTTTTAATGTACTTTTTGGCGTTTGATTTTATTATGCCCCTCCCTGATAAATTTTCTGCGGGCGCCCATGGTGATACTTATTTATACTATATTTTCTTTATATTTGTTTATTTAATTGCAAAAATATTTACACCAATATACCCAAATATTATATTAAAGCAATTTAAATCACTATTTGATTAATATTCTATAGAATTTAGTCACTATCAAATTCAAAACATAATATAGTAGGTAGTAAAAAAACTCAATAATATATGATATGAATAATGTAACTTGCTAGTTTATATAAATATATATTAATATATAATATAGATGTTACCATTTATTTATTTATTTTACTGGTCTTAAATATTATATAAATTGTTCGCACAACTAATTTAGATTTATTTCTCTCTTTTTTGTTTATATTACTTATTTATCTATAACTTCACATTGGTATGAATTAATTTTTCAAAATTGTTTACGCTTTAAGCATTATTTTTTTCTATTTTTTTCTATTTTCAAAAACACCATATTTGAACGTTGAGCCTTTTCTAGCTATCGCCAGACAAACCTACGCCGGACACTGAAGGGGGGGGGGAACTTGCTGGACGCCGCTTTTATCTCCGCTACACCGTGGTGTCCGAAATCCGAAACAAGTTACATATGGCAAAATCATTCCGCGTTCGAACATACATATTAAAGTTAAAAGTCGTCTGATAAATATCGCTACATGTACACAAAAAAAAAATTTACCTCTACCTATATTAATAAAAGTCGTAATCAATTTTATAGGATTGCTAACAACTTCGAGATTATTGACCCCCCAATTTCATTTTCAGGTTAACTTTAACTCATTTAAAACATTAAAACAATAATATACTGGGAGAATTTTGCGAATAATTGATGAATAGTACTTAACGTCATGTCTACTGTCAACAAGTTTACAACTACAACATAGAATAAATTATAATTTATAATTACTCGCCATACACAATATGCTTTTAAAAAAATATACAGTGTACGTAATCTCAAACTCAGTTATTAAAAAAAAAAATAGTTATTACTTCAAGTAATTTACTTGCCTATATTTTTATAGCTCATCTTTGTCATTATTATTTATTATTATCAATACCTACATTGTAATCAGCAAATGCATATGTGACGTCATCGTGATCAGACAATATTAGACGGTTACAAGTTCTGAGTCATAACAGTTTTTTTTCATTTTCGCGCAGTCTCACTGTTATCAAAAGTAACTGATGCCTGCACTTCACACTTTCGATTTTGACTTACCACCCGGCGTCGAGCTTTGTCTAGCATGTGCTGCTATTACCGTCGTGAGTATAAGAAACCTATTCGTATAGTATACGATATAGCATGTTTTTGCCCGTCACTGTGGCAAAACTAGTGCGTGGTGCGTTCTGCAATCGACACTGTCACCTGACTCTTCCCTTGAGTCGCGTTTGTGTGACAAGGTGCGGAGTTTCGTTCGTCCGGAAAAGGTTTGTGTCCACCACCCTGAGTTTACGGCACGGCGAATACGAATGGCAGGAACCGAAAAACGAAGCTGAGGTGGTTCGAGTGGCGTTTGTAGATAGAGACGGCAAGCGCACAGAAGTCAGGGGTAAAGTCGGTGACAACGTCTTATATCTAGCTCACAGGTAAGGGATTTTTAACAGAAAATGCGTGTCACCATCGAAATTCGTGGTTGTGAGAATAATGTAGGTAACTTTTTAATTTTTTTAGGTATGGAATTGAAATGGAAGGTGCTTGTGAAGCATCATTAGCGTGTACAACTTGTCATTGTTATGTTGCTGACGATTATTTGTCTAAGCTTCCTGAATCGGAAGAGAAAGAAGACGATTTATTAGATTTAGCTCCATTTCTCAAGGAAAACTCAAGATTGGGTTGTCAGATTATTCTAACCAAGTGTTTGGACGGCATTGAACTTGTGTTACCTGCAGCCACTAGAAATTTTTATGTTGATGGCCATAAACCTAAGCCTCATTAGTACAATTTAAATTAGTTCAACTGTTAGACGTACTATTTTATAGTAGTTTAAATAAAATGGAGTACGCTGAAGAAGCCATTGTAGTGTCCAATAAAGCGGTAGACTGTGATTGCAAAGGTCAAATGCAAGCTGCTGTCTATTATTATAAAGAGGCTGCAACACTTTTAGAACTTGCATGGAAGATAAGAAAAGATGATCCTCTAGCTAATGAATGGTGTCAAAAATCACATGATTATGTTAATAGAGCAGAAGCCTTGGAATATCAAAGTAATTTTTTTTTTTTGTTAATCAAAGTTAGTTTTTTGCTTACATTAAAATTTTAGATTTTGAACGGAATTAAGATTTATCTTATGTAATTTTGAAATCTCAGTTACTTAATAATTTTTTTTTTTATAGGTAATAATTTATTCATATTAAAAAGTATTTCTTAAAAAAATATAAAAGAAATATATTTTGTCCATTATTTTTGTATCACATATTTTTGGTCAATAATAATCTTACAAAATAAGTTCAATTTTGGGAGTGCTATCCAATTATTTGGGAAGACTTATTAGTTATTACTTATATCTATCTATGCTAATTACCTACTGTACCTTTTTAACGTGGATATTGACTTTCACATGTTTATAAGTAAATAATTTACTTAAAACTATAGATAGTAGATGATAATATTAAATCTTATAGAATAATGTATTAAATGAAAACATAATCCAATAGGTATTCAATTAATTGATAAACCATTTTATTTTTAAAGTATAAAAATACATTTTAGAAATATTAGAAGTTTAATCTAATTATTTTTATTTATTAAATTTCAGTATTTTTGGTTTGAAATGAAATATATCCAGTGATCATACTACATGAAGTCTTTAGGACATGGCTCTTCTTGATAAAATAATTGTTTCAATTTAAATTGTGACCAAATATTAGTAATATAGTAATTTAAAGGAAAATAGAAAATTGTTTACTTGTTTTGTTATTCTTCCTATATTATATATATATCTATTTTTTCCTTTTTTAGTGGAATTTGGGAAGACGGAAATTCTTTGTCTTCTTAAATTTGGACATTAAGTAAATTTCAATTTAAAATTTGATAGTTAAAAGATTAACACATGGTTTTGTTTTAAAAGGTGTAAATTACTCCATTCTACACATATTTAAAATAAATACTTAATGAAGATGTCTATCCTTATCATAATATTAATATATTTCACCTTTAATCATAACTTAACTTAATAAAAAATAATAATAATTAGTCTAGTAGATAATTGTAAATAGTTAATTACTTTATTTACTTTATTTTGTATCAACTAATTAATTAATTAATTGGAAATAGATATTGTGGGAAAAAATCATAACTAAACAAATAATTATTATATGAATTTATGTTTATTTTCCTGTGATAATTAGATTATATAAATTATAATAAACAATTTTATTTTTATGTTACACCATTCATCTTGATATTATTAACTTAAAATCAATTATTTAATATTCATAATTTATGATATTTATTTTGAATTTTATAGTTCAAAATGAAGCTGCCAATAGTATGGAAAGTATTAACCAAGATAAAGTAAGGTTAAAACAATGCAAATATTTACTTAAGCAAGCTTTGGATATTGATGAGTCAGGAAAAGAGGATTTGGCTATTGATACATATACACAAGCAATTGAATTATCATTAAAAGTGGTAAATAAAATATTTACACATTTTTATTATGCTATTTAATAATTTATTTAAAATTATATTTTTATAAAACTGAACATTTAATATGAAAAAATGTTTATGCATATTTTAGAAAAAAGAAATATCAGATGATGAGATGATAAAAAATTTGACTACATTAATCGAAAGAGCTTTAGATCGAGCAGAAAAACTAAAACAATCAAAGGAGTCAAATTCATGTAATAGCTCCAATAATACAGGTATCTTATGAGAATGAAGTAATTTTATTAGTTTTTTTTTCATAACTGCATGTAATTTATTACACCAAGAAATTTATATATATTTTATATTCAATTTAAAAAGAGTAACATTTTTAATAAACAAATTTTTTTAAATTGTTATTAATTAGCTATATTTTTTTACTGTCATTGTGATAACAATTCATTTTTATAAATGTTCAAAATTAAAGCTTTATTTGAACCATTCTTTTTAGTTACCAGTATTAATACGAGAAAATGTGTTTATAAAATGACTTATTAATTTAATATCTTATAATTTGATGTGATACTATGAGTAATTTTACTTATTTTTATTTATTTTAAACATTTTTTTTTTATAAATACTAGAAGCATGAACATAATATGTACTAAAATCTTAAATTAATATGTATTTTTCCGCTTACATATTTACATGTTAATATTTTAAATACGATACTTGTGTTTGGAGTTTATTTTAGGTAATTATAATTTGTTATAGTTATTCAAATAATATTATCATCACATTTTTGTTTGGATATAATAATACAAATGTAAAGGCTGTACTATTAGATCTCATTTATTTTAAACTTACCTCATAGTTTTAATATTTAAAATTAATGTTCAACTTAACTATACAATTTTTATGTTTAATTGTTGGTACATTATAATTTATTTGATATACATAGATTCAAAGCATTAATTTAAAGATGAAATAATATTCAGATGTTATATTTTCCATCATGTTATAGTTTAAGTTTTAAAAAATTAACTGTGTATTATAGAAATTAAAGTTATTACATTTTATTGTATAATTGTATGATTTAAATAGGTTACCTATTTAAATTATTTTATAATTCTGTATTATTTAAGGTGCTAATTTTAATTTAATTTATACATTTTTAAAATTAAACTGCATACTGCCTTTTGTGTTTTAATTAAAAAAATAAATACTATTTTTCATTAAGAAATTGCATTTTACTGCAAAAACATGTTCATTATTCATTAATTTATAATTGTATCTGTATGCTATTTAAAATAAAATTGTGAAAAGTGTCATCTTATACTTCTAACAAATATCATTTTTTCTGATATTAAAATATTAATAGTTAAAAATTAACTTGTATAACATTAAGTGTAAATTCTTAAGACTGATAAATTGGTTTTAGTGCATTTATTCATTTATTTTGTTTCAGTAAATATTCATGTCTTATTAAACTATTGTTCAAAAGTATATTTTTTGATTATGTATTGATAAATTTAAGTAAGTATACACTATTTGGGTGTGAGACAATTAAACACCGCACAGTTATACCTTAAAAAAAAATAAAAATAAGAAAAAATCATAAAAATTATAATTAAAAATTTAGACATAATATTAAAACATTTATTTTATTAATGTTATAATTAATTTAGAGTAATGCCTTTCAAAACATAATTTATGTTGTGATTTTAAAAATTTTGGATCACCAGACTAAAACATCATTATTTTTCAAATTTTAGTCCGTTTAATACTTTTTTTCAAATTATGTACATAGGTACGTAATAAATAATAAAGATGTTCAAAAAAAAATAAAAAAAATAATTTAATGTTTTACATTTCAATTATCTGGATATTTGCAAACCAACCTTAAACCTTAACATTAATTACTTGGATAATTGATGTTCTACTGTATAAAGTAACCTACACATCTACATGTATTGTATAGTAACGTATAGATACTGCAATTAAATCTAGAATTTATTTCATCTATTATTAGTATATATTTTACATTCATTTTAAAAATTATTGATATTTGCTACCAATTGTCTTGCACCCAATTATCATAGCACCTAAAAGTCCCATGCCCAAATAATGACATATTCACTTAAGTATTTCTTAATATGTATTGAAACATTTTTAAATTATCCGATTATTATTTGTATAATTTTCTTCTAACTGTCCTATTGTCTATACTTTTAAAAACATTTACCATTGTCTTAAGTATAGTTTGATATTTTTTTTAAATTTATTGTGTCATAATTCATGAATGTTCAGTGAGAGAATATTATAAGATCTCAGAATCCTAAACTGACTAGTAATAACAGTATCATCAATTTTAAGATCGGTTTCTTTTTTTATAATGGTCAACTTTTCTAAAAGTTTATATACTCTCTTATCGAATGTAGTTCTTTAAAAATGAATACTCTAATAATAGTTATCATTTTTTGACTTGTAATTCTTTTATTTTACCTTTTAATGGTTTTAATATTCTGAGAGCAAACACAAATTATTATTTTATTCAAATTATTACATTTATAGTATATTTGTATTATTTGCTTTACATTTAAAAACAAATAAATAATAACATTTTTTATTTAATATCTTCTGTATAGATTATAAATTACTAAGATAATATGTATTATGTAATAAAATAATAAAATTCAAAAATATTATATAATTAATATTAATTATATTAACATTTTGTACAAATTTAATGTATCTTTTGTTAAAAATAGAAGTTAAAAAATTATTGTGTTGCATAAAATCAGTCGTTTGTCAGTTTTTACAAAGATAAGACATACTTATTTTATCAATGTAATCAAGATGTTAAATCCTTGTCACTGTCATTTATAACACTTAAAATATTCTGTGTCTGTTTAATAAAATATATCTATTTATTTATTTATTTATTTTAAATATATACAAACTTATGTCCTATTAAAATATATGATGCTATGGTACATAATATTAATGACTACACATAAAAGTTACATTGTTAAGTTCTTAGTTAAACATAATTTAGTATTTTTAACTTAAAGATATTTAGTTGGTTTGCTTATGTGTTATGATAAAGTAAGATTTGATACTTGATCCTGGGAATTGGGATAGTAAATTTTTATTTATAGTATTAAAACTTATCATGTTATAAATTATAAAATTAAAATTGTTAAAAATGATTTAAGGTACGTACTTAAACATAATATTACAAAAATTATGTGATATTTAATTGTTAATTGTGTATTTATATGTGCTGTTTTATAAATGAAATAAAAAAAAAAAAATGTGTATATTAAGTAAAATATATTTCTACTATCCTTCAATTTTTATAGCTAAGACAATTTTTAAATGTAAATTAATTTTTTTTTTTATTATTAATGTATTAAATAAATACTTTTGTGTATTAATTTTCAGCAATAATTCAAAAGAAAATTGTTCAAAATCGAACTCCTAAAATATTAAAAACATCTAAAACTGATCTTTATACAGAATCTGAAAAACAAGTATTATTGTTCACATCAAAAATTAATAATAAAGAGTATGTTCCTTTCATGGATGTTGATCTTTTAGAGAGGTAAATTTAAGAAATGTTTAATATATATCATGTTACTAATAGTATTTATACATAATTAATTAAAAACTTATTTTAAACATGTTATATTTGAATTTATGCTTATTTTTTTTTTTTGAAATTTGATTTTAAATTTGATTTCACTAAAATTATCACTATTTCAGATAAAGTAGACTAAAATTAATTTTAATAAAGTAATTTATTTCTACTAGTGAATAAAAAAGTGCAAAATTCAAAGCATCAATATTTTTGTCTTAAAAGGTTTCAGTTATCAATTCCATTCACAGACAGTGATGGTTTGCTGACATTATCATTGGATCAAAAAAAAAAATTTGTAAAATGGATAAGACCTGATCAATTATGTTCCGATCCAAAAATGGTGGTTGGAGACTCCATAGACTTTTACAGTATTAAGCAAACGGTAATAAATAATTAAAAAATAAATTGCAATTTAAATTTTATTTTCATGATATTAACATTTTTAAGTTATTTATTTAAATATTTTAATAGAAATAAAGTGCTTCTAATAAAACTATATACACGATAAAATTATTTATTTAAACAATTATATATTTATATGTTTAATCCAAAGTGTTTTGTCTTTTATAATTTATAACTTAACTATTTTAGGCATTTAACATATAATACTCTACAATTTTATTTTATTTAAAAGATTTAATTATTTTTGTTGAAGATTGTGACTGACTGTTCATTTGTGGCATCATTAGCTGTATGTGCTGTGTTTGAGAAAACATTCAAACAAAGATTGATCACGTCAATTATCTACCCTCAAAAACATAATGGACAACCCATATACAATCCATTTGGTAATGCAATAAAGTTATCTTTTTATATAACTAAAATACATAGTACTGATATCTTGTTTACTTTATTAGGAAAATATATGGTCAAATTTCACCTGAATGGTATACAGCGTAAAGTAATTATAGATGATTTATTGCCAGTTGGCCAGTACAATTCATTATTGTGCTCGCATTCATCAAATAAAAATGAATTATGGGTTTCTCTTTTAGAAAAAGCATACCTCAAAGTAATGGGAGGTTATGATTTTCCGGGATCAAGTAGTGTAAGTTCATTGAAATCCAAATTCATTGCTGAAATATTTTTAACTAAATAAAAAATAAAAACCAATGGTTATTTTCATTAATTTTAGAACATAGATCTCCATGCTTTAACTGGCTGGATTCCAGAACGCTGTGCTATTCGTTTAGACGATAAAACATTTAATGCTGATGGTTTATTTGAAACTCTCTACACAAGATTGTGTAAAGGTGATGTGTTAATAACTGTTGCTACACCACCAATGTCGGCAGAAGAAGAAAGAAGAACTGGTCTTGTTTCTTCACATGCATATGCTGTTTTGGCTGTGCAAAAAGTTAATGTAAGCCATATAAATGAAAATGTATTTATTTAATACTGGAATAAATAATAAAAATTATTTCAGGAATTAAAATTGTTGAAATTGAAAAATCCTTGGGCTCACGTACGGTGGAAAGGACGTTACTCAGAGTTGGACGAAAAGAGCTGGACATCTCAGTTAAAAAAAACGCTCGACTATGATCCAACAAGTGCAGCTACATTTGATAATGGAATCTTTTGGATAGATTACAAATCGGTAATTCATCATTTTGATGTATTTTGTATGAATTGGAATCCAGCAATATTTCCATACACATCATGCATACATAAGTACATCACAATTTTTGGATTTAATAATATATTAAAACTATATTGTATATAAACCTAATTTTTATTTGATGCTTTTATTTTTAGGACTTGGAATGCTGGAACAGGTCCTATTAGTGATCTATATAATATAACTGAAAATCCACAATTTTATCTAGATGTTGGTAATATTAACAGTGGTGCTGTTTGGATACTATTAACTAGACACATAACTGAGCTACAAGATTTTAAAGAAAACCGTGAATATATAACTGTTTTAGTATACAAAAATAATGGAAAACGCGTTCATTACCCAAGTATATAGTTTATTAAATTAACAATGAAATAGTAACATTTTAGTAAATTTTTAATTTTATTTCTTCTAGACGATCCTGAACCATATATATCTGGAACACGTATCAATAGCCCTCATTACCTTAGCAAAATTGTTATTAATGAAAAATCGCCATCCAAGTATACATTAGTTGTATCTCAATACGAAAAAATGAATACAATTCATTATACACTGCGGGCATATGCTACATGTCCTTTTACAATGAAGGAACTGAGTAACTCGTATAATCCCAAATTTAAAACAGTTAGTATTTTTTTTTCAACTCTTATTAGACAAAATCCCAGTTGAATATTAATATATTATTATAAATTAAGTTGATTTAAATCTGTGAATAGACTGTTAACAGTGAATGGAAAGGAATAAGAGCAGGTGGATGTCAAAACCATAGTACTTATAATGATAATCCTAAATTCAAATTAACAGTAGATGGACTATCGGACACAGAAGCATTACAAATAGAACTAAAGGCACCAAAACAGTTTCAAATTGGAATTGAAATATCATGTGTTGGCTTAAATAATATAAATGCTACAGCCAAATTTATAAGTAAACATTCTGGAAGCTATAGGTTAGTATGTATTATTTAGTTAAAAATTAGCATGCTTAAATTAATACACTAATATTAAAAATGAGTTCAAAATTCTTTTTTTATTTTTTAAATTATTTAAAATGTTAACTGAAAAAAATTTAATCAAATCAAATAATATTTATTGAATTAAATCACATTGCTTTAATATAAAAATTGTTGAGTTGATTACATAAATTAAAAATATACTTCATTTTAAATTGTACAAATTATTACAATATTATTCACTGGCTTTATTAGTGTTACGTGTGAATATATTTAAATATTTGCCACGTGTCATTTCTTTAGATTCCTCTAAGCCTAAGTTATAGGCAAAGTCGTATAAAGACTTTAATTCATCTAAAAGTGGAGGCAATGGCATTTGACTATAACGTTGTACAAGTAACATATCATGGGCATCTGGTGGTTGCTTCCATGATGGTTGTTTATCAGTCGCACTAGATGCGCGTATGTGTTGTGCAAAACCAGACATGCCAGGCATTGGTTCAGGCCAAAGTTCTGGCGACGACCGATCAAGGGTTTCCATCGCCACTAAACACTGCTGTTTTTGTTGATCAAGTTCTGGCATAGTCTTCTCAGCTGGGCAGATGATGTAATAGACACATCGATCTGGACATTCGGCTTCATTTGACATATAATGAAACAAATAAATATAAGCAACTTATAACGTTTCAATTTTTTATTAGTTCCTAAGCACAAAATAATAAATAATCAATATATTTATAAAATATAAAAACAAAAAACTAATAACTAATTTCAATTAGATTTAAATTATTAATTGTTAATTTGTATAGTACTCATTAATCAATTAGATAATAATATTACAAATACTAGGAATTCATTTTTAACAGTTAACCTAGAATTGGGAATTATATTGAAATTTAAAAATTCTTATTTTTACTATATATCAATTCAAATCTATGATTGAATATGTATTCTATATAAACAGATAAAAAAAAAAAATTAAAAATTATGATTGAAAGTAATTTATAAAAATCATAGTTAATATATCATTAAATAACAAAATGTTCTCTTTTTTTTTATATATACTAAACAATATTGCTATTTAGAATTAAATTACTCCTTTATTTTTAATATATTTTTTGTTTTCAGATCTGGATACGTGATTTTAGAATTGGTTGATATTCAACCAGGAACATACGAAATAATTCCTTCAACATACTTGCCTGGTAAAGAAGGACCATTTATATTAACTGTAAATGCATCCTGTTTAGTTAGTATTAATCAAATTCGATAAATTAATTTTTAACATTCAACTAATCTTTTATTTATCTAAAAATGTTTGTTAACTAAAATGTATACTTATTTAATACTGATATCTTTAGTTTTCTGTAAGAACTAAAGTATTAAAAAAACATTTTTTATACATTTTTAATATAATATAATACATATCACTCATGTATGATAGAAAAAATATTGTTCTTGTCAATTAACCATTATTTATTTAAGATTGTTATTTTATAATTAAAACATTTTTAAATTTTATACCTAGTGGATATCAATAAAATAATTTGCATATATATATAATTATTTTTACAAATAATTTGATGTAAAACTTTTACTAAATTTAAGTATCTATTTAAATTGGACAGGGTAAATGTGTATAAAAAACAAACAAGATTAGTTTTGTTATAAATAAAACAATTAATAGTTTATTAATCAAAATTTTAAATGAATATTAGGAAAAATTTTCATTATGTATAATCAAAATAATTAAATATAAATGATACATATGAATAATATAGAAATAGAAAAATTAAATTAAATAAAAAATGATTATAAAAAAGAAATACATTTATTAACTTTCAGCTGCTGTGGTGTTTTGATTATTAAGTTTGTCAATGATTGGCAATTGTCCACCTGCAGTCTTGAAAGCATAACATCCTGAACCCACTGTCATCATAAAAACTATAGATAGTGCAAGTGTATTATAATAAAATTGATTGAGCAGCGTCACTTCTGATACAACTAAGTGTGAAATAATGACATATAAAATTAAGTTTTTATTGTCCGTGTTCAATCCATGGAAAAATATTATTCCCCAAAATATATGTAGGAGTATGGTAAATGCTGTAAAAATTGAAGATACAATACAAAATGCGCTATATCCACCGCGGAGTCCCATTGTTCCTGGTCCTCCGACTTCAGCAAGTATGTTGATCAAAGAGAATAGGCCACTCATAACACCGAATCCCAAACCGGAAACAAAAGACAACATATGTTTGTTGTTGGACACCAATGAATGTACTACAAACCGTTTAAGTCCGCGTTCCGCTTTCCGCAATAGCAGATATAAAAAGTAACGGAAGAGTTCTTGTACTAATACAGATACGAGCACTCCAAACCAAACCTGTTGTTTGTTGGGGAAGACGAACCATACTATTGATGAAAGTAGTAGACTGAGCAGCCAGAAAAACGAGCTGGCTATCAATATGATGACACGTACAGGATCATTCATGATGGTCAAAATGAACATTGACAACGCTGGACCAAATGCAGTCAGCGCACAACCAGTAAACTCCAATAATGTCATTGTGGATTGGCGTAGCAGCTGAAGGTTCCGTAATAAATTAATTAATCAAAAAACGTCAACACTGAACAGTACGCGCGCACATTTCTTTGACAAAAGCGAACAATGATTAATATCTCTAATTGTAAATATTTTCGTTTATAGTCGATTGATCGTTAATAAAAAAAAGTCGTTTCGCACCAGAGTATAACAATAAAAGACGTAACATAAACTGCGGGTTTTTTTATTATTATAATAAAATATACGAGTTGTGTACAAAGTCTGGCTTACCGGTTTAATTTTGATTGTGCGGCTTACATCAAAGTTCACAGTTTCAAACAGCAAAAAAAAAAACAATCTATGACCGAAAGTGGATCCCGGTTGCAATGATATTGACGATATCCTTTTGTTTGGAGTGGGTGAGATATTATACTATATACGTTATTATAACTTGCAATCCGGTAATCGATGTCCGAGTATTCAATTTACACTTGACAATAGCAGAAAATCTGAACGGAGCACCATGTAAGTGTAATTAGACATAAATTACTGTTTAGTGTTTAGCTCATGTTTAAAGATTTTAATAAATATAAAATACAATAAATTTATTAACTATACATTTTTTATCATTAATCATGATCCAAAATCCAAGCGAATTTAACTTTTTACTGTACGGTACACAACTCGGTTAACCAGTAAGCTTCTTGAAACTGGTAAGTGATCAATGTAATACATAACCATGGTAGTGGAATCATTCTATAGTATAACAACTATGGTTAGACATTTGTTATAACTCGTCGCCGACGTTGCCAATAAGAATACTTTATAGTTTAAGTTTTAAATATTTTTCGCGCGTGATTCGTCGAATTTCGAAGACAGTAGTAATAACTAATTGTAGAATATAGTGTTAAGTCGATAACTACTAACTTGGAATAAGTGACAAGTATACAATATGCATTTTATTTTTATAATAATATATACCTATAAAAGTATTATAACGTGGTTAATAATTGTTACAGTATAAACTAAGTTAATATTTCTATAAAATTACAGAACACTTGAAACATTTAACGTATGTCGACATTTCGTATATTATTATATTTTATAGTTTATACACACAAATACATAATAACATTTTCTAATGCAATGTTTTCGGTAAAAATTAATTCAACACACCGTATAATTTATAGCGAAATAATTAAATTTAGTAAATATATAAATAGGTATATGATTAAATATACTTAGTAATACAGGAGAACAGACCGTCTGCTCAAAATTATTTTTTGAGTACATTATGTACAATGATTTATTATTGGATCCAAATTGAATACATACTTCATAGTAACTTGCATAATTATGAGGCACACTCTACTGGCCACTACGGCTTCTGTACAGCATAGCAGTTATCTACTTATTCTACTTACTCCCTTTTTTCCACCGACCCCTTCAATATAAAAATTATTTATCCCACTAGCTGGATTATACCTACTAAGTACATTATGTTAGTTGTTACTATTGTTAAACATACAATTTTTTGCTTGACTATTGATATCGACTTTTTGAAAATGCCAGAGGCAATGCAACATACAGTCTCTCAGTCTTTTTAGACCTAGCAAACAAATATAAGAACATTTTACATTTTTACGTATGTTAAATGTATGTATATACACCAACAAACGTATAGATTACGTACATAACGCATTTATTAGAGTAATATTTATCGTTTATTATTGGATCAAAAGATCACTATTTCACAAATATTCAACGAATAATAAAAAAATAAATATATACATCTTTCTCGTATAGAAAACGTTTAAATAAAGGATATTATGTGTATATTTTTGGTGTATGATTGACACATTTTACCTATATTTTTTGGCAACAATGATTATAATTCCATTGACTATCAATAGTATAGATCAGTAGTGCACAACTTACATGATACATACATGTATCAATGTATCTGTATGCAGTGTGGATACTCATTAGTTTTTATAATTATTTCTTTCAACCTTTGTTTTCATGCCTAAACAATTAATGTTCCTCACAGCTCACACTGTTAAAAAAATAAAATATTCATATAAATAATCAAAATGTATAAATATTAAATTATCAAATCAGGATTAATTGACCATGTGAAATGTGTATTGTGCATATGATGTGTAATTATTTGTAATAAACCATTTCAAACATGTAATGCCGGGTTAACTTCTCCATAGTTAAACTTTAAAATCAAAAAATGCTCACAAATAGAATGAATAAAAAGTAAATAAAAACAAGGTAAAATAATTTATTTTATTCTTTTATTGTAGTAAATAACAGAATATAATTATTAGATAAAAATGAAAATTACTAAAATTATAAGTTGTTATACAATTCAGTCAATTCAAAGTTCTAAAACTACTTGATTTGATTAAATCATTATTAAAAAATAAAAATACTTTTAAAATTAAATTTTAACTTAATTTAATATATAAATAGTTATAACTCATTAACTGTTTTAATGTTATTGAAAACAACAATTAAACATGTAATATTACAGTGAGAAAGAATTTCAGTACTTTAGTAGCTATCATACTTATGGCCCAACTCATGTTCAGTAGTAGGCTGTTATAAAGTAACTTTATATTTCAAATGATCCCATGGACAAATTAACATAAAATAACATGATTTAATTACAATAATTTCTGCGTTGAAAATAAATTTAATAAGGCGTTTTATAATTATAATATACATTGTTAAGAATATTAATTATTCACAGTTTATTTGGTTTTGTAAAGATATAAAACAATTTTTACCAGTTGTACAATATCTTTTGAAAACAAGTTATTTAACATGGCAATTATATACAATTTAAGATAAGAGCAGAAATACATTAGTTTAATCTAATGTTATAACACATAAAACTGATCTTGATTTATCTTTTTCTTGATGTCTATTACTTCTACTACTTCCAGAGCTACTTGCTACACTATTATTGGACCCTGGGATAGAAATACTTGGGAGATAACAATTATTTAACATACGGGATGATTCACTAAATGAATCAAGTTCATCACTTATTATAACTGGTTCATACTTTGAATCGGTTGAAGTTGATGGATTAGAATCGTCATTTAACGTAATAATTGGTTCATACTTAGAACTACTTGAAGCTGACAATGTTGAATTATTTTTAAGACTCAAATCTAATATAAGATCACTTTCAGAAGGACTTGTGATATTTTCAGTTTCATCAATATGCTCAGATTTTATTACAGATTCTTCAAATTTTGGTGAATTACATTTTAAACGTTTTGATTTTGGTAAAATCTCTTCATCATCATCATCATCATCATCAGAATCTGACAATGTAAACACTTCTATATTATTTGTAGATCGACAGTTGTTTGCTCTAGAATTGTTTGAAAATTCTTTATTTTTTCTCTCAGACCATGTCCCATCTTTTAATAAAATAACATTTTCACATTCTTCACTTAAATTTGGACTTTCAAGCATATTTAAAAAAAATTCATCAACTTCAATGTTTTCAAATTTAATCTTTTTCTTGCACAATGGGCATGTCCAGGTTTGCTTTTGTTCATTCATTTGTAAGAATTGTATTGCATCAAAACACTGTAAATGTATACAGTCTACACCTCGAGCAGGAAGTTTCATTCTTAGTTTAGTTAATGGATCCTTAACAGTAGCAAACATGGAATCTACGCCCATATCGGCATCATTTTCCATAGATTTTTTAATGAGTTCTTTAGTTTTATTAGAGGGACGTACTGGTCTTTTTTTAAGTTCAACAAGAAGATCATTCCAAGTTAGTTTTTGAGCCACATAAACACCAGCTAAATATTCGTGTGGTTCTTCTGACCATGTAATTTTTAATGTGTTCTGTAAACAGTTTCTTAAATCAGTTTGCTGAGTAATATCTATAGGAACATTGCATCGCCATGGTGTGATTCCAGCTTTTGTAGGGATGTTCAATGTAGGCAACTTACATTGACGATCATTTACAGAAACTGTAATATTGTAAGGTAAACGTTCAGTAACATTTTCATTAAGTCCAACTTGTACTAATCTTAAAATTATTTGGATTTTGTATTCTTGTCTGGAAATATTCCATGACTTAACAATAGAATGTCTTATATTATCAGTTAAATAAAATAGTCCAGTAAAATTAGCAGATTCAATATTAGTCTGGCAGTACATAGGCATTAATAATGTTTGTACTGTTTTAAAGAATGGTAAGTCTTCAAATTCTTGTTGTGGGATAGCTGGATTTGGAGCTTCGACAAAAGGTTGAACGGGATTTAGTCTCGGTGTTGTAAAAGATTGACTATGAGGCGTTTGCCGTGAAAACCGTTGAAATACATCATGCGGTTGTACAACTGGCGTCTGCGGAGATAATTGTGGTGGTCGATTTTGTTGTGGTCTAGAGTTGTAGACTTGTACAATTTTTTGTTTCAAAACTTTTGTTTTTGATGTAGGAGCAGTTAATAAGTTTAAAACACGCTTACGTAAAGATTGTTTGCTACCAGATTTGTTTTGCTTAACAGCTTCCAAAATTTGTTGTAATTCATTTAATTTTAAATCATATACCAACTGGTGAATATATTCAATATCTGCCTAAAGCCAAAAAAAACAAAACAAATTTTAATTTATTAAGCAGGTAATTAACTATGAAATAGTTGGTATAAACAATTAAACAGTTTGTTCAATAATTTGTTATGAAACAAGAGTTTGAAATATTAATTTATTATTTCATATTACTTATTATTTAATTACTTCTAATAAATTTCATACCTATTTTAAATAGGTAATACAAACAATAACATCAATTTGGCATTATGTCACTACACTATATTCTGTGTTCAAAATTTTCTTGTTGTTCATAATATGATTTATGGTTTATACAAAATACGGTGTTATTGAAAAATCGCAAATACATCAAATATACCTCCATTCATAATTTTTTATTAATTAATTTACAATAGGTATAATCTTTCAATCTTTATGAGTTCTTAGAAAGTATTTAAATATATAAATTTATTAACAAGTTAGCTTTTACTACAGTGGTGTCTAATCAATACTTGATAGAACCAGACCCCACCTGAATCACTGAGTTTAAATAAAATATAACAGCAATCAACAGCATGGGTACTTTTCGAAAAAACAGGCAATATGCTATCTTTTCTAAAAATTCTTATGCTATGTAGAAAAAGTTTACTAAGAATAAATGAGAATACATATATATTATATATTTATAATACATACATGTATAATTAATAAATGACCTAATATTTGATTTAATTCTTTTTTCTAAACATTACATTTGTACAATTATGTTTGAATTTCCGTTGACTATTAGCATGATAAATCAATAACAATAATTTTAATAGACTACATTAACATTAAACTTGTAGTAAAAATGATTTTGATAATTTAATTAAGTACTTAACACCTTAGATCACATATGATCCAAGCCTAACACCAACTAAATATTAGGTATGTGATGATTGCAGTGTATAATTGAACATAGTAGATATTGTATTTACAAGTTAAATTGAAAAAATTTGTTTGAGTTTAGTATGTATACCCTACAGATGTATAACAAGACTAACATTTTAACATCTACTGTAGTAGAATTAGTTTAGTGTACTTAATAGAATAAATAAAATAATATGGATAGATAATACTTACAATCAAATGACTTATCGATTTCGCCATTTTAGATGGATTTTTTCAATAATGATCAAGAACCTCTGATTATTTCATGTACAAATTTTCAATAAACAATCATCGAGTTGTTTTTTGTCTAAACCATCAATAAGTAAACAATTAGTAATGAATATTGAATAGTGTTAATTCAAAGACGGATGCTATAATTAAAATATTAATTATTAACCAACGTTTGTGATAAATAAGCGATCAGTATGAAAAAACCAAATGTCGCTGTTAAATTACTTAAATGTATAATTTCCATCTATAATACACTGATAACATAAAAAGTTTTGGATTTCTGTAGTTCTGCAATCGTATACAGTGTATACACTATATAGTTCAATAGTTGAAAAATAATGAGCGTATAATATAGTACATATATACTACTCTGATTCGGTTGTAGCCATTGTCGAGTGTTGAAAGCATCCGACAGTTCTTCCCAAAAGATAACAGTTCATGGCCCAGAAATAATCTCCTGGCAGAAACGACAAAATCAAGGCACATAAATCATAGATTATATAGAATATATTTAAAATTCATAATTTAGATTATGAACAACAGAAACAAAAAACTAAGACGAAGACACAAATATCTATATCTCTGATAGTAGTAGAGTTATGAGTAATATTTTCTTTTTTTTACAGCTTTAGTGCTATCCATTGATCGATGTCGGGAACGCTAGTGCTACGAAAAAGAAAAAAAACCTCCCGTAATTTTATCACTGTACACATTTTGAGAGAAATACTGTACAAAATTTAAGTGCCCACTGTCCAGCTACTTATATCGTACTCGTGTTCAGAAGTCATGGAAAATATTAAGATATGTATTATTTATGGGTCTTTTTTACGAGAAAAGTGTAAAGGTAAGCTTGAGTTCAGCTGAACTGCTGAACCTCGGTTATCAACTACTAACTCCTAGGTTAACTTATTGCCACTTGCCAGTATTACAAACGTCGATTTGGTTCAGTTCAGTTAAACTGTGGTTAACCGTTTATTTTTGCAATACGACTGGTACCACTGTTTCTCTGTACAATAAACAGAAAACCCAGGTAATTATGGTGTTTTTATAAGATAACTTATAATTTATTGGGCACATCACTCATGTAAACACACTTAACATTTTGCAAATTCATTGAAAACTATTTTGCTACTATATTACACTTATGTAAGTCGTAAATTCCCCTAATTTTCCAGTTTTATTGTTTAATATGCACTAATACTCTAATAATATATAATAATTTGACGTTACCATAATATGGTAAACGAACGATGTATACCTAGGTAATCTAAAAATCGAATGATGCGTAAATATTTTTTTGTTTTACAAATAAAGGTAGAAATGAATAATAATCGATGTGCATGTGCAAGTAATGTATGGTCTATATCCATAGGGGTAACTAGTCCTTTAAGTTAATAAATAATAAATTTAAACTTGAAAGAATATTTTACATTTTTAAGGACATGAAACATCGTTTATTGGGTATTTTAAAAGAATATTAAAAGAATATATTATCTATTTTAAACGACATAAAAATATCATATTTTAAGGATTTTAAGAGAAAATAAATTCTACTTCTAATCATAATTTATCGATCAAGCAGATTAAATAACCTTTGTTTAAGAAATTTGTATTTTCTATATGGCCTTTAAATGCAATTCCTTGACGAGATAATAGTAATATAATATCAATTAACTTTTTCATGTAAAAACGATTATTTTAAACATTTTGTTTGTAGGCAGTTGATAGCTGTTTAAATTACACTTCCTGTACTTTTAGTTGAATAATATCCAGTCATTTTTGATAAATTAGTAAGATGCTCTATACTTAGTGCATGACTAACAAGCTTGGATTGTTTACTATTAGAACCACTAATCTATAAATTATAATAAAATGTTTAAATAATATTGATACCGATCTAGTATAATGTGTAACAGTTTGTAACTATTATTTATTAAGCACATGCTTTTAAACCGAATTTTTTTCATTAAATTTAATATGTAATATATTATATTACTCAGTAAATTACTTGGCCACTTGTCCCCTTTCTAAGCCCACTAAATTTTTTAATATAAACTTTTTTTCCAGTTTTTAAATCCTAATTTTGTGAACACATCATCATTATTTTTTCCAAATAATCGACAGTAAAAGCAAAATATAGAATCTCATTTGACACTGTATTCCAACCATGTATAATGTACCTATTATATAGCTTAAAAAAAATTGATGAAAATGATCTATTTTGTTTACCAAATAAGGTTTTTGGATAATCCTTAAAATATTTGAAAAATTATTACAATAATAAATAATTATGTCTAAATTATTTAATTACTTATTTTATTTTATCATGATAATAATACCTAATAATATTTTAACTTTTTATTTAAAACATTACCTTTAAAATGAACTGGCATGGACCCAAAATAATATCTTCTAAGTCATCCAGTTCAACATTAACACAAATATCATTTTTTTGTATTTTAGATATATTATTACTACAATTGTTATTGAGTAAGCCAGGATCATCTTCTGTATCACTTGATGTAACATTGTTACAAGTATTAGGAGTTTTTTTATGTTGAAAATACTAAATACATTTTTTCTAAAAGAATCCATTATTATATTTAATTAGGTGCTTTTAAGTAAGAAATTATCAATTCTGAGTCTTCGACCTCTGGATTAAAGTAACGTTTTTTTTTACACTAACATTGACTAGTGACTACTATTCGTTATAAAATATACACAAATTGTTTCTCTGGGATTTTTATAGCTTTATAAATTAAATAATTATAAATCTAATGCCTACATTATCGTGTATATATATCTTATTATCATGGGTATAGTCTAAAAAAAATTTCTCTTCACACGTCTATTTAATAATGCATGTTTATAAACAGATTTAAATAAATAATGTAAATTCAATGTTTTAAAAATAAATCATAAATATATGTTTTATGTCTTATATAGTGTTATTGATAAAAATATAAGTGAACAAATATATTGAATGTTAAACCGATAATATAATAAATTAATAAATAACAATGACAACTAATAAACACAGAATTTAATATTACTTTTATTTTTATTAGATAATTATTCGTTTATATGAAACATTATATTTTTTTATATTGAGAATAAAAATAAAATTAATACTAATATATTTATAGGCATATGCATTTACTTAAAAATTCTGAAGGCCGAAGGGGCTTTAAAAAATTCTGGGGGGCTGAAGCCCACCTAATCCCCCCCTTAGTTACGCCTATATCTATATCAAATTTTAGTTCATTAATTTGTTCATGCTTATCTAAACTTTTAATATTTATAACAATTATAACATATAAATAACAACTCATTAAAAATGTGATTTTTATACTTTTTTAACTAATTATATATACCTATTTGACATTTTCATTTTTTTCTTAATCGATAATACATTTTTTACCCAGTCAAAAAGCTTAAAATTATAAGGTTTCTAATAATTTGTTAATATACCATTTAAATTTTTAAGGATACATAGGTATTAAGGTATTTAGTATTTTGTATATATAATTATTTCCATTTCAATTTTTAACGAAATTAGATATTTAAACAAAGAGTAATGATTATAGTCATTTTGTTATAAATTAAAAATATTATTTGTAAATACTAAGTAGGTACTTAAAACTTCAAACGTATATCATTCTTTTTTATAACTTGAAAACATTTATAAATGGAATATTTTCAGCAAAAATTAATATGACCTAATGTATTGTATTATTAATAGTAAAATAAATTCCTTAATAAATAAATAAATTACAGCATTTTAAATATATTATATAAGTATACAACTGTAATAACATTAATAACTAATAAAATAATTAATGATGACGTACATTAGTGAATTTGGCTCTTATTGATCTACTTTAGAATAGAACTAGGTACTTATATTATAGTACTTCCTCCTTTTTAACTAATAATTTTTAATAATTGATCTCTTTTTTTTTTAATTCTAATAAATACAATTAAGAGCATTTGAACATGTGTATAATACAAAAAGATAAATAATATTGTTTTCGATTAATGATCAAGAAATAAGAAATTCAGAATAAAGTTCTTCGAAAATTTTTTTTAGATAATTTGACATCATTACCTAGACAACAAAATTTTTGAAAAAAGTTATATTTTTTTTATCATTACAATTATTTTAAGTATTTTTGCTCTTTGAATGACAGCATAGTATACATTTTTAATTTTATAAATATAATTGAAATATTTGTCTGAGATTGTATTTTAGTACCTATATAGTATTTAATTAGCTATAAATAATAAATATTTATAATTAAAATGAGCTGATATATTAAAATAATTATATTTATAAATTATGGTTGAATATGTTACCATATTTTCAAAAAAATAATCGACGATTTTCGATTTAATAATATAAGGTAGTTTCTTATATTATAAAATTTGTAATTTTTATTTTGAAGACCTAAAAAGTGAATACAAAATTTAATAAATGTAAATGCAAGTCTGTTATTTTTTTGAAAATCGTTTAAACTTAAACTTAAAATTTTCTTTTTTATTTACTACTAATAATATAATTATAATTTTTAATATTATGTTAAAAATGACTATAAAAATAATAATAATAGTTTTATAAAATATCTAGAGATTTATATTGATTATAAATTCGAATGAAATATTTATATTAATCACATTATAGTGATAAAGTGCAAACATTTTTTTTTATATTTTTAGTATATTTAGAAATATTTTATTTCCAAAACCAAGAGTTATAAACTCATAATATTCATAACTTATATTTGTAAGATTCAATCAATTATTAGTTAGATTGATCCTTCTTAGGAGGTATCTTCAATAGACATACAAATGAATTAAATGCTACTATCAAGTATCAGTTAGTTTTTAAAATTAATATTTTTTAAGTCATAGTTCCAATATCTATAAAGATTATGATATAAATAATTTATATACATTATATTAAAAAAAAAAAATTATTTACATTTAATTTTAAAAATATTACTAAAATTTCTTCATATGGATATAATTTTAAAATATATTGTTCTCTAATCAAGAATTAGTTTCATTAAATTTTATGTATGGTTTATAATTTATATTTTGTAAAATTTATACTACACTAAAAAATAATTTATCTTTTTTTTTGATAATAATTCTTGACTTTATATTATTATATAAACGATTTTTTAATACTATACATTTTCTCTTTAAATATGTTTAATTTCGACCTTATGTTTTGTATTTAATAACACTTTTACTTTTATCATGATATTGTATTTTTCATTATGAACTCTTAGTTCCTACTCACATTCCAGCCATATAGGATTTAGTAAGTAGACCATTAGCATATTATTAATTGATATTTTAATTTTAAATCATTGTTATAATTGAATATTGGTGAAATAAAGTTATTTAAT